TCCGGTCGCCGGCAGTGGGGGAGACGACCGGAGTGATCCGGTGCGACGCGGCGCACCATAGGAGGGTGTACGCGCGCATCCTGGCCATTAATGGAGTCTGATTGATCCGGTGCATCGCGGTCCATGATACCGCGGTACACCCGGATCAGGGAACGTTGGATGGAGGAGATGCAGGTGGATTGATCCGGTGTGGCGCGCATGCAGGAAAGCTGATGCAGCCAACCAACCGGAGGACGCCGCGTCAGCAAGGCACCCTTAGTGCGCGCGTGGGACTCTCCAGACGCGCGTGGGAGCGCGTGCGGGCGCGTGGCTGATGCCAGACGCGCGTGGAGGCGCGTGGGAGAGTGGGGAAAGCTTGGCTGCGCGTGGGGAGGCTCTGGGAGGCGCATGAGGGCGCGTGTGGGGTCCCTACAGCTGCTGGAAATTACCAGAATACCCCTAGGGCCTGTTTTGTAAATTCCAGAACCTTAAACTTGGATTTTTAGGTACTGTGTTGGTAATTACGGGTTTAACGGGCCACAAAATTATTATTTTAACACCCGTTACTTATTCCTATGACCGATTAATCTTTTCTAAGCATTTATTGGTTCGTTCTCAGTACGGATACTAATGTGGTTTATTTAACGACATTGTTAAATATAAATAGTGTTATTATCATATTAAATGGTATCAAACATTACTGTTAAATTAAATAAGGCCATGGTTTTAGTCAGATAAATTATCCATGATATCTTACGGGATGTTTATACTGTTAATCGTATATAAATCATGATTATTATGCTGTGTGCATTTCAGGGAATAAATGGACTGTTTATTATGTCGCATTTATATTATATGGATGTGTTGCCATATAGAACCATGTGAGCTGACTAATAAGTTTAGACTCATTTATACCTTATGCATTCGTTGTGATAGACAGATGTGTGGCTGTCGGGGTATGTGGTTTAATATTATTGGCATGTGTTGCCTAACTGACATACTCGGTATATTTATTAATATTATTGGCATGTGTTGCCTAAATTGACATTCTCGGTATATTTATTAATATTGTTGGCATGTGTTGCCTAATTTATATGCTCAGTATATTCATCAGTACTTTGCGAGGTGTTATCACTGTGTAGTTCGTTATAGTCTGTGTTGTCAGTACCGTGCACCATGTATAATAGCTGATTTCCCGGGTAGGGAAAGGCGACACTTGACCACCTAGTGTGAGTCTAAGTGATCACCGTCTATTCTGGTTGAGGTCATGTTATACATCGGATAGTTCCCGTAGGATGTATACAGATATAGTACTCATCCGATTCATAATGATTAATTTATTTGATTCTCTGATTTGGGTCATAGTAGAGAGGACTTGCTCGTGGGGTTGACCCACCATTGTTGTTATTTCAGGATACGGTCAGTATCCGTTTCAAGGCTGAGGTTAGCAGTGTGGGACCATCATCCGAACTCATCTACTCTTACGATCCAGTGCAGGGTAGAAGTTTTATGTAATACTTCAGTTTCAGTTTTTATTTACTTTTGACGTTGAACTCTCAGGGTTATATTTAGGGATCCCTGACGTAGGATTTCCAAGTTGTAATGAAGTACTGTATTAAATAAAGGATGGATGGATGTTGTATTATTTAATGTTTCTTTCCTGTCTAAATTCTTTTATTTCCATCATTTTGTATTCCATGCTTGTATATTGCCAATTGTTTTTGATATCCCTCGTTTTTCGTGTATAAGCCTGATCAACTTATGCATGGAAACTGTGGGGGTGTTACAAGAGCCAGCTCCTAAATCGTGGGAGCCGGCTCCCATGAAGAGAGAGCCGGCTCTCCATGAGGGAGAGACGGCTCTAGAAGCCTAGGAGCCGGCTCCCATGGGAAAAAAAACCCCTACGGGTGTTTTTTGCAATTTTCCTGAAGTTCAGGGGCTTAAAGGTAATTACTGGAAAGTGATGGGGGGTTTTAAATGATTAAAATTAACTTGTTAAAGCCTTCAAATAATTGGTTTATGCTAAGGTGCTAAACCTAAATGCATGTCATAAAACATAAGCTTATAATAGGCCTACTGTCAAGGAAGGAGGAATGCTTGTTTTGTTAAGTTGTTTTGACAACTTAATTTGGACTGACATTGTAATTATTGTTAGAATTTATATCAATGATATATTTAGCATAGTTCAGTTCCAGGAATGTTGGTTATGACGTCATGTACTCGTATCTAATAAGTTGTATATTGTCGGGAGTAGTGGAAGGTTAGTTGCTAGTTTCGTGTTAGCAAATTAAATGAAACTGATATAAAATACTTTTGAAGTTTCATATGATGTACTTAAACTTTGGAGTGTCATTATATCCGACACAGAATTTATAATGGGGAATTACATAGATGCCATGAGATTTAATTATAAATTTGCATGCCGTAAAGGATATGAGAGGATGTAAATGCTAGTTATCATTTTAACATTTAAAACGAACTAGTATGGATGTGTTGATTTGGAATTTTAGTATAATGTGCAGTTTAAAATTCTGATATTCATTATATTATGTTGTGGAGGATAATTGCTGAACTGTCTTAATTTTGGTTCTGTCAATTACATGGAAATGGATGTTTTAAATTGTTTATTCTTATTTTAACAATTTAAAAGGAGGGTCTATGATTATAAACATATACTGGATGCATGATAGGATCTTATCAATATCTGCTTTCTATTATGCTGATTTCTGGATATACTTGATGTTCTAATGGATGTGCATCATTTGTGAATCATTTGCATTATATGTACCGGTATGGGACGGTGACATATTAGGGATGGATTAGATCAAAAAGCTAAGTCCTACCCTTTCATACATATGGAATGGATTAACTCAAACAGTTAACTCCTACATGGATGCATGTCCTGTCAACTAAAACAGTTGAACGACATAATGGATGGTTGCTTTACTTTTCTGTATTAGGAAGAGATTTAAATATATACTTAAGTGCCGTGATACGAGCTTGAGTCTCCTGATCATGGTTAGGGTGCATATATCGCCTAGTATTGATAACCAAGCCTGATGATGTTTCCTTGGTTGTTCTACTCGGGTTGAGACGGATTATGTGGGCTGGTGAACGTCCTATAGTATGTACTTATATCTATATGGACTATCTTAGCTATTGCCGAGCTATCTAGGATGTATCTGCGTATCGGGTTTATGTACGGATTGTAGTAGGATGGAACTTGCATGTGGGCCTGACCCACATTTATTTTTCAGGTGTTCGTGAGTACCAGGCTTAGGGTTTGATCGTGGTGATGCAGATACAGTCACTCATTCTTCCGACTAAATATGATTTTTTTTTTCTGGTTTTAGTTTTGGATTTTATTCTGTAAAGTTTTATCAGTTGGGATTATTAGGGGTCCACTAGTTGGATTCCCGAGTTGTACAGATTTGAATGATTTAAATGTTATTAATTTATTATTTTAAGTTGGGGATTTTTATTTTAGAATTCTTTCAGCGTTTTGTTATTTTATTCTTAATTCAAATTTTATTCCTGCTTGTTTATATATTGATTGTCTGGTATCCTTCGAATCTGTGCTCGGACTTGATCACCCGTGGTTCTAGAATCGAGGGGTATCACAAGATAGACGGTAATTTAGATATATTATTTTATTAAGGGATAAGGGCAAATAAAATCCACTGTGAATGGTTTGTCACAACAATTTTTTATCATATTTAATATGAGAGTAATAAAATCAAACTTGAGGTGTTAGAGCATTTAACCTAATCACATAATCATTTTCAACAAGTGTCGTTCTCAAGTTTCAAGTGCGCTCCTGCTCCTGCTCCCATGCTTTGTACGAATTCTGGTTCAAATTCTCACTATTTATCAACAGCCCTGTGATCTAGCGGTATAAGGTTCCTACTTTTCAAAGGGAGGTCAGGGGTTCGAATCTCAGTGGAGACAGTGTGTGTGAGTCCCAACTGAAAAAAAAAAAAAAAAAAAAAAAAAATTATACCGCTCTCACTCCACTTTATGTGACTTAGCATTTAACCCAAAAATAAATAAAAATAATAATAAATAATGTAGAGCCGAGCTAGGGAGTCAGCTATTATGGGACATTTAAAATATAAATTTTTAGGACAGAAGTGTCCGTTTAATTATTTCTTCTCTCCTAAGTGTGTGTGTGTATATATATATATATATATCAATAACATTCCCGGAATGGATTATGATTTTTTACTGGGAATGGAGGTGTATACAAACCTATGTATATAATAAAAAATTAAAAAATATATAATAAAGATAAAACTTTAGGTGTTTATATATATATATACTCCGTATAAATATTATGTATAGGCCTTTCAAGTGAAGTGAGAGAAAAAAATGTTAAAGGGACATTTTTGTCTAATAAATTTATATTTTTAATGTCAAATATAAAATATGTAATTAATTAGCGTGTAAATTTAAGAATCGTAACCAATTAGTAGCGTGAAGGTGGGTTGTAACCAATTAGAAGCGTGAAGGTGGGTTATTAAGTAAATTAACGCTCCTCTTACTTGATAATGACAAATAGCTCATAGTGATTGATAATGATACAATACCACACTAGCTGGTTGGAATTGCGTAGAAAAGGACTTGGTTTTTGATCGCCTGTCCTCTGCAAAATTGTGAAACCCAAGCACCACCAATGCATTAATTGATTAATTAAATAATTAATACTGGTGATTGTATGAATATGTGATAAGTGTCTGTCAGATGAAGAAACGGTTGCATTAAATAAAACTGATGAGGTTTGAAGGGGGACCAATAAAAAGAAATTACAGAAGCATTCCATTTAATTCCATTCAATTCAATTTATCTGTTTTCAACAACTAAATTATTAGGCTCGAAAAAAAAAAAAAACACAACTAAATTATTAGGCCCCTACATCTTTCTGTTTCTTCTATAAATTCAAACAACTTTCCCCTTACCATCTCCACCATCATTTCCACACTTTTGGCCCTCTCTCCCTCTGTGCAAGTAAGTCCAACTAATTTCACTCATTATGATTTCTATATCTATATATATATTTCGTTAATAGTTATTTTTTAATTTGGGGGTGATTTGTATCATTTTTTTGTGAGTACGTGGATTTTTTAGTGAATGAATTAGCAGCGTTTCTTATACTACTAGTCCTGGTACTAGAATGCAAAAATTATTAGTCCAATAAAAAAATTCAGAAAAAATATATTTTTTTTAGGTAAAATATTATTTTTATTTTTATTTTTTTTTTTGGTGTTTGATAGAAGTTTAAGTCGAGATTGACGTCGAATTTACGTAAATAACTTACAAAAATTGATGAATAAATTATTTTTATTAAAAAATAAAAAAATATTTTACATCCAAATGGAGCCTTACTACCAATAATCAATCTCATGTCACATACATATACATATATATGTAGGGCTGTTTTGGTGCCGTCATGCCATTACGCGTTTCTTGTTGCCTTTTAGCCTTCTACAAATTAGTTGTTTAAGATTTTCACTCTTTTACTTTTTATACACGCACGCACGCACACACAGAGATGTGTGTAATGTGTAGTGGTGAACTTTATATTTGTTCCCCCCTCAATTGGGTTCTTACATGTGGTTCTATCGTCTCACCAAATTTCCTCTTCTTGCTTTCTAAATTATTTTTGGACTAATTCTTGGGTACATATACAAGAGAATCGAGAGGGTTTGCCCAATTTCTGTTAATTAATGGAAGTACAATCAGTTTATTAAAACTTAATTGTTTTGAATTCATGATTTATGTAATGCTATTTTCTAGCCGCTTTTATGGTGGGGGATCATTCATGACACCCTCTCTTTACATTAACCTTTAATCTGGCTAATTTAATGGGTGCTGATTTACCAACTTTGTTTGGGTTTGTGGAGTATGGACTTTCTTTCACATTTAAGTCTTCTTGTGAGCTGAGAGAGGTAGTGGATGGATATGGTGGTTTTGGTTTTGGTTTTGCAGCAAAACAATTTGGGAGAATGAAGATGTTTGCAGTTAAGGTGGAGGATGGAAAGGAAGGGCGAGATGGGGAGCCCTCCGTCGGTCCGGTATATCGAAATCTACTGGCCAAGAATGAGTTCCCACCTCTACATTTTGATTTGGGTACAACTTGGGATATCTTCAAGTAAGTATATTATTGATTTAACTATCAACCAACAACACACATTCCTGAATCAAAATGACTGAAACTCAAATAAAACTTTTAAACAACTTAATAGAGAAACATGTTTGAGGTATCTTTTCTTATATATGTTGTCTAAATTATGTGACTTAGGGAAGGTTAAAGCCTAAATGTGTGGTTCTTAATTCTTATATATAATTTGGATTATTCTAGAGGATAGTAATCACTAAATGCCTATTGAATTGAAGTCTCAGATTGTTATTATATATATATATATACACTTGCAATCTAGGCCCATCTCCTGCCAAAATAGCTCATTAACAACATTAAGATTTGATGTACAGGGTGTCTGTTGATAAGTTTCCCAGTAATAGGATGCTTGGATGGCGTGAATTTATTGAGGGGAAGGTATACATCTATTTGAGATCACAGCTCGTGTCTGCATAGCATAGTAGTTTTTTTTTTCTTTTCAAAAGTTCAAGCAAACGGACACACCCACAATATTTGGAGAGATCATACCATCTGAGCTAATGCCTCTGCACTTTTGTGGTCTCCAGGTAGGGCCTTATGTCTGGAAAACATACAAGGAAGTTTATGAGGAAGTCCTGCATGTTGGGTCTGCATTACGGTCATGTGGTGCTGCACCTGTAAGCATAGACATATGTATTTCCATCTGTCGTGGTTCATTGCATATTAATTTGAAAACCTACTTATTCTAGCTTTCTCCATTGTTCCATTCATTAAATTTTCTAAATGGGATAAATAAGATCCTCTGGTGACAGGGCTCCAAAATTGGAATATATGGATCAAATTGCCCTCAATGGATTGTGGCAATGGAGGTACTGTCTGACCCTTTCCCCAGTACTGTGTTTTTTATTCACCTGATTACTTTTATGTTGAGCATGCAATGGATAATTGGTTTGTTCTTTTCTTTTTCTTTCTTCCCCCTTTTGTAGGCTTGCAGTGCCCACAGTTTAATTTGTGTGCCTCTATATGATACCCTTGGTAAAATTCTTCTTTTAGAGTTTCTTGCTTTAATTCAGTTTTTGGAATATCCTTAGTAATTCCGCGATCTCCCATTCTTGCACTCTGCCTCTTTCCTACCCTTAATTTTTTTAATATTGAAGTTTCTTGACTATTATTTTTACATGGTTGTCAAATCCAGTACAGAATTACAATATATTTTTTCTTTGGATTACATACATTGGTTATTACTTGGAATCTTGGATAGTGGCGTACATGATTTTTTCTTTTGTATGGGGTCTACCATGGATAGATTACATAAATCTGTTGGCAGAGGCAAACCCTTGAATGGTTGCGTTAACAGTTATGTTCCAAAAATTGAGTCCAGGAGCAGTTCTGGATTGTATAATATTTTTTTCACAACTCAATATTGGCTAAAAGACTGCAACAAATTCTTATTATTACCGTAAGATTTGTTTTAGCTATTTACTCTGGAGATATTCTATAGTCAGATATTATCAAATTATTAGTTCCCCCTGCCTGTGAGACATTTGTTTACTGGTATACAGGGTACTCTTCTCTTACCTGCTGCAGCTCTTGAATTTGTCAGTATATGTTGGGTAGTGTTCAGTTCCATTTCAAGCAAATCATATAAATTTCTTATGGTTTTCCTTGGAGGCAGGGCCAGGGGCTGTAAATTTCATAATAGATCATGCCGAGATTGATTTTGTTTTTGTCCAAGACAAGAAACTGAAAGAAGTGAGTATAAAAACACTTGACTAGCTTTTGGTTAAATAGTTTCTTTACCTTTGAATTCATATTTCAGGCCATCAAAATGATTATGATTGTTAACATTTGTTTTCGCAGCTATTGAATCCTGAGTGTACACATGCTCAAAGATTAAAATGTGAGGTGTTTTATTATTATTTTTTTTTGGGTATGTTGCAATTGTCTGAAAGCATTCTACTCAGGTTTGTATTTTTATTTATTTATTTATGGAATGCAGTGGTGGTTTGCTTCACTACATTTAGAGAGGAAGAGAAGGACAAGGCAACCTCCATTGGAGTAAAGCCATTTTCATGGAATGAGTTCCTTCATATGGTTAGCTTTTCTTTATACTGGTTCTAATTTGAAAATATCCTCGAATGTCTTTAACATGCATAAACTTTGAAGTGCTATTTGAAACATAGAAAAATTTCATGATTTTGTTTATGGTAAATAGATAAGAAGGTATTGTATATAAATTCAACTTTCCTATAACCGATAACTAGTTATTTATGGATCACCTTTTGGCTTGTGATGCAATATGCTTTCATCCGCCTTCAACTCATTTTTTAACATAATGAAACAGTGTTCTTCTCTATGTTGCCACTGGTAAATCTGTGTGTGTATTGAAAAGTGTCGTGATGTTTAAATGTATTTCTGTTAAAAAAACACATAAACGTTTTACATGTTAGCTGCAAATTTGAGTAGAGTGAAATCCGTTTGGTATTATTTTTTCTATAAATAATATTTTGCTTCATATTTCTTTAAATTTGAACCCATGGAAAACTTTATCCCCTTTAAAGATTCCAAGAAACTTGAGTTTCTTTCCAACATGGCTTTAGGTAACCTACAAGTTCTGGAATGTGCTTTCCATCTCCATTCACAATGTAGTATGAGATTTATAGTTCTGTGCATGGTTCGTCTGTTGTTGATTTTCAGTCACTTGTTCCTCAGGGAAAAGAATATCCATCAGAACTCGTGCCGCCTCAGCCATTTAACATATGTACAATAATGTACACTAGTGGTACTAGTGGAGATCCAAAAGGGGTTATATTAACTCATGAAAACATTGCAACATGCATAGAAGGCGTTGATCTCTTTATGGAACAATTTGAAGACAAGGTAAGCCCAACGTCTAAATGTCTGATAGTTGTTCTTATACCGTCTGATTTTTCACCCACAGAGTCTTTACGAGAATATGGTCTCGTAAAAGTGAAATTTTGTTGAATTCCGACCACATTTTATATTACAGAGTTAGTGATAATTTTGTAATTACGAGTGATATATAATTTGTCAATAGGGATAGCAGTTGTCTCTAGTTTCAGTCTTGCAGATGCTGTGTGCTTTTTTATCATTGTTGTGCTAATTAAAGAACTCAGGTTCTGAATCTCTATTTCTCATTTTCTATTATCAGTGTTAACTCATTATATTATGTGGTCGTGTTCAGTCTATTGGGTTGAATTTTACTGAATGTTGCACATGGAAAAGCATGTAGCAATATATTCTTGTGCTCAGTGCCTGGGATTTTCTGCTACCTGTGTCATGTTTCCTCTCACCCATCCTCTAGATATCCTGACATTTACATTTGGGACTTTGGTTAGATGACAGTTGATGATGTTTATATATCTTTCCTGCCCCTGGCTCATGTCCTTGACCGCATGATAGAAGAATATTTTTTCCACAAGGGTGCTTCTGTTGGCTATTATCATGGAGTAAGCTTCTGGAACTCTGTTTTCTAGTTTGAACTCAAAACTCCATTTGGTTCAGGAAAAAGAGTGGAGAAAGGGTGTTTAATTGACAAGACAAAAGACTTAAAAATGAAGAATATAAAGAATAGATTGTTATTATTGGCTGTGGGGTGGTGTCAGCAACAGGATGGTGGGGCCCAGTTATAACGGTGCCAAGAGACGGACAGACAGAGAGAGAGAGAGATCATTTCCCTCACCATTATAAGAAGAAAAAGGGGTGGGGTTTTGTTCAGGTGGTGGGGAGTGGGGAGGGGCGTCTTGCACAGCTCTGGAAAGGAGAAAGAGAGTCAATATGATATTTGCATTGGTTTTTCCAACGAAACTAAGCACTTTTTTTTGTCTATTTTACCTGTCATTACTTTTTCCCACCACCAAATGTGGGAAAATGTTTGATTGCATTACCTCAATCCTGAAACCAAATGGAGTTTGAAGGTCTCAATATCTCATCTGATTCCATGTAACTTACCATTATGATTTTTCTTACCTTTGTTCACTCTTTATTACTTGAAGAATTTGAATGCACTGAGGGATGATTTGATGGAGTTGAAACCAACTTTTTTTGCTGGTGTACCTCGAGCTTTTGAAAGAGTGCATGAAGGCATGGAAAGTTTTTCTAGTCATTTATCATCCAGAACGATAAATTTTCATTGAATTGGAACAATTTGATCAATACTACATAATAGTGAATTTAGTCTATCCTTCAGGTGTCATCAAAGCGCTAGAAGAACTCAATCCATTTAGGAGGAGAATGTTTGACATTTTTTACAAATAGTAAGATGTTTTTTCCTGGTTTCGATCACTCTCTCTCTCTCTCTCTTCCCCCCCAAAATAAGCTGTTTTATTTGCTCATTTCTTTTCTGCAAAGAAGCATACAAGTCTAGCATATTTTCCCATACTTATGTCCCTTTATATTGTATTGCAGCAAACTTTTTTGGATGAATTTGGGATTTAAACAGAAAAATGCATCACCTTTAGCGGATCTGCTGGCTTTTCGGAAGGTTACACCATTCTCCTCCAAATTCTAGTCTTTTGTTTTCTATTCATTTTTTTTTTCCTTGCCAAAAGCCATTGTGTCTTAATGCTGAAATGCTAGCCAAAACTGGCAGCTCACCGACAAAATTCACCTTCCAATACTGGAATTTTCAGATTATATCATAATGATATGTTCAACGCACTTTCTATTTGTTATTAGAACAACTATAATATCCGGATCCTTGATTTTGATACCTTTAGGCTAATTTGATAGAATAGCTCCCCCAAATTGAAACTGAAAATTGATTTGCTTAGCTTTGATGAAGAATCTACTTTTTCTTATGATGGATGATGAAAATTTTTACCTGGCTATCTGACACTACTTTGTTTTTGTTTAGGTCAAAGCTAGGTTAGGTGGTCGGATTCGTCTAATAGTATCTGGAGGCGCACCTTTAAGCACCGAAGTGGAAGAATTCTTGCGGGTTACTACCTGTGCTTTTGTACTACAAGGCTATGGTAAAGAATTTTATTTCTTGCAGTACAGAGAATAAAGACTGACCGGCTATGGTTGGTTTATGATGTGAGAATGACCATCATGTGAGCTAGAGGAGATCGGCATTTCAGATGAGAATTTAACATTCCTCCATAACTTTTCTTAGAGAACTGAGAGTTCTAATGAAGCATTATGACATGGAATTCTCATGTTGCATCTTGAAGCAAATTTATAACTGTTGTCATTGGTAGTTATAAAGGTTCAATCTCCCCCCCACCCAACACATTTTTCTTCCTTTTAAAAAAATTTAAATATACCCCTTCTAGTAGGTACAGTCACTTGTTTTTGCTTGGAAATTTAAGACTTTCTGTTAAGATTTAAGGGATTAATGCATTCATAAGGCAAAAACTGATGTCAATTGAACTTCTTTTATACAGAAACTGATTGTGCAATTCCTTATTCAGGATTGACAGAAACTTGTGGTCTGACCACTCTTGGCTTTCCGGATGAAATGTCCATGATTGGAACTGTTGGTTCTGTATTTGTTTATAGCGAGTTGCGTCTAGAAGAGGTTCCAGATATGGGTTACAATCCACTTGGAGATCCTCCGCGAGGTGAGATATGCATCAGAGGGAAAACTGCCTTTGCTGGGTACTACAAGAATCCAGAATTGACGAGAGAGACGATGAGAGATGGGTGGTTCCATACAGGTTAAGCATTCATTTTCTGGGCAGAGAAGTGCTTCTGGAAGAGTTGTAATCTGACATTTTTCATCTTTTGGCGTTGGCAGGTGACATAGGGGAGATGCAACCCAATGGAGTTGTAAACATAATTGATAGGAAAAAGAATCTCGTGAAGCTATCCCAAGGGGAGTATGTTGCATTGGAGCATCTGGAAAAAGTTCATGGTTTTACCCCCATCGTGGAAGACGTGAGCATGAACTCCAATTCTCAAATTGAATTTCTATTATGTTAATCCCTGGAAAGTATGAGTCCTTAAGCAACTGTTTGATGATTTTCTTTAAGATTTGGGTCTATGGGGACAGCTTCAAGTCAATGCTGGTTGCTGTAGTTGTACCACATGAAGAGAACACCAAAAGGTGGGCACATCTAAATGGCCACAGGGGCTCCTTCTCTGAATTATGTTCCCTTAGCCAGCTAAAAGATCATGTTGTCCTTGAGCTAAAGTCTACAGCAGAGAGAAACAAGGTACTAAGTATTCTTTTTTATCAACTTTCACATTAATGTTAGATGCATGATGCATTCAGTTATTTTTTTAGTCTTCCCTTCCCCGACTCTGTTTCCTTCAGCCTCGTAATTATATTTTTCAGTTGTTTTCTTAACTTGTTCCATTTCTTGCGCACAAATTGTATTGTAATGAAGCTAAGGTGTCCTGTTTTAGTTGAATTTGATAGAAGTCTTCAATTATAGATAAGGAGTGGGAAAAAAGAGTTTAGGCTATGTTTGGTTGTAATTTCATGATATTTCAATCCCACCAATTCAATTCCAAATCTACTGTTTGGATAAGCTTTGGAATTCAGTTGTAGTTGAATTCCAGTTCCAATTTTATTATTTGAATGGCATCATTGATTTGGAATTGAATTAAACAACACAAATAGATATGTATATAGGTATGTATATAAAAAATTATAAGTTTGAATAAACATTGAAGTAGTATAATAAATTACATGGAGGCTAATTAATTTAAAAATGAAATTGTAGAGAAAAATTGTGAGAAAAGAGTAATGGATAATAGAAAAGTGCTACCCAAAATCTTAGATCTCTATTTGGGAGGTGGATTTTTCTCAACTTACAATGCAGCAAGCCCACCCATGCCCCCTATCTACCCATGATATATGTGAATATTATTTTATTTTTAATATGTAATTCCACTCTGTATCACCCATAACCTCTATCTCACATATTATTCTTTTTTGACATTTTTTATATTCTGTGTGATATCTCTAGCCAAAAGGGAATTGCAGGGAATTATATATATATATATATATAAGAAATGAATTCAAACAAATAAATAGTCAAAACTATGTAAGATATTCATATTTTTTATAATCATTCACTTTTTGTCTTACCATTTGACTTCATTTCAAAAAAAATATTTTCTTTGTCCGATGGAATAAGTAAAATTAAATTTTGATGATCATTTTTTTTTTCCTTGCTTTTGAAATTTATCTGTAATTGTGAAAAATGTGGAAAAGGGAAGATTGTGAGTGTTTGAATGATGAGGGGCTAAGATTATTATTTCAGTTTCTTGACGACTCCTCTACCTTTCCTCAAACCAGCTGAGAGGTTTTGAATATATCAAAGGCGTCATTTTGGAACCTCAGCCCTTTGATGTGGAAAGGGATTTAGTGACTCCAACATTAAAGAAAAGAAGAGATAAACTGCTCAAGTGTTACAAGGTACAATTTCTTTCACTTCATTTCTATTACGCTACATATATTAATTGTTCACTTAGACAAAAAGACAAGGACCTTACAAGAATCATTGAATATGTTCAGGTAGAAATTGATGAACTCTATCAGAAATTGAGTCAGCTAGCGAGATAGGTATTGAAATTTATTATAGTCAGTGGTTGTTGTATCAGTACGTACTGCTTAATTATGCACTGTAGTAGTATTTGTTGTATCAGTACGTACTGCTTAATTATGCAATGTAGTAGTATTTGTTGACGTACGTGGGTGCTACAGTTTCTTCCAAGTCTGTTAAATTATGAAGGAATGTCCTGTGTCTGCTACTAAACCAGTCAATATGTTTGCAATATATCATATCCAAAACAATGCTAGCTATATGCTGTGAAGAAGAGTATGTACTCAGACTAATGTATGCATCCACAGACAATAATTGCCCAGATGTATTAATTGTCAGTGACTGTTATTAGTGAGCTCATTATAGGTTTAATTATTGGTCCTCCTACCTGTATCTCTTGGTATATATATATATAATAGTTGCAACGAGTTTCCCTTTGCTGCTAATGTTTCAACCGGAAAAGAAATGACACTTGAAACACTGTTTTACTATTACATAGTTATACCATCATGTATGCAATAAGAACAAGTCCACACCATCCACCAATGAATAATATAATTAATCTCTCTGTACTCCCATCAGTACTGTTACTGTTAGGTTGGTAAATTGAGTTGTAAAAAGGTGGTGCAATTAAAGACTTCTTAAAACATTTTATTCTAAGAGGGACTACAATTACAAAGATCAATTGGTAAAAACATCAAGTCACGTCTCACTGAAGAGTGAGGAGGAACATCATCGGAAATGTTTTTCAAGGTGAGAAACTCTCATTATTTCACACTTTAGGTTCAGGCATGTCTCTGTTTTTTACCAATTCATTTTCTTGTCAAATACAGTAATGCTTTGTTGCGAATTACGGAATCTGCAACTTGGATTTGAAGAAAATTTAATACAAACTAAATTTTTTTAAATCCCAAATTCAAAGCACCGATTCGATGCCTCCGAAACGCAACATAAGTAATTCACAATCTCCGTCTTCTTCAAGAAGATGATGAACTCTTAACCGTTTTTCAACTTCATTCTCCAAAAAAATCTCTAATCGATGTGTTTTTAACTGCATTATTTTAATGAAAAAATCACTCGCAAGATATGATACACTAACCCTATAAAAAAAAGTGTAAAAATCAATTGATAATAATAAAGTAGATGTTAAAACTAGCAATAAATCTAAAGTATTTTACACTCCTTTATATGAATGGAAGTAAAAATACGTTATTTCAACGTCATATCAGTACCACCTTTTTTCATTTTTTTTTTTTTTTAGTTAACCAAACCAGTCTCTTTCCAGTATTAGTAAAACCTAGACAAATAAATCTCAAGAAAACAAGTAGTACATTCAAGCCAAATCGGCTATAAGTAAATATAGCACCAAACTCCTCTTACTAAACCACTTTCATAAATGTTACACGAATGTTCACTTGGTCTTCCAGGACTCTCTCGATAGGATTTACAGGGTGTTATTGCCAAAAATATGCTCTGGAACTACACCACCCACCAATTGCCAGTGAACAGAGATAACCAAGCCTACAAATAAACACAGTTTACTTTCTGATCTTGCTCTCTTCCCTCTCCCTCTCTCGTTTCTTGTAAAGCTTCTCAAGCACGCGCTTAGCCTCACATTGTGGGAAGTTCTCAAGATCGTAATAGTGTGGTGCTATATCAACTAACCTGAACCAGCCAAATAAAGGCAAAAATAAACGAAGTTAAATAAGAAACGAAAAAGAGAAACAGGAAATATATTATATGAGTCAAGTCCCCTCTAAAAAAATAAAAAAGTATCCTACAGCTGATTGAAATTTCAAGAGAGAACGGGATCATCCCATCCAGAAAACAAGTCTTGTCTGATTAATATTTCAAAAACTTGCCAACTGATAAAATAAATAAAAGGGGAAGAAGTCCAGGATCATCTGCATCCAGATGAGAAGTCTTGTCATACTACAAAGAGGGTAGTATCCTAGGCTAGTACACACTTCCAACAATTGTTACAAAGCAACAGGTTAATGCAAGCAAAGAGACTAAATGAGATAAAAAATAGAGTTGCAAAACAATTGAAATATGGTCATATGTGGAAACCAAGCAAGAACTTAAAGAAAAAGGAAGTAGTGTTTTATCCTGAACTGACATCACACACGGTCATCCCCTACAGAATTAGGTGCTGTTTGATAACCATGTTCAACACTCAATTCTGAATTTATTCAGCACTGATGTAATTTTATTTAACTAAGTGTGTTTGATAAGACAAGTATAAAGCAGGGAAAATTTACTTATCGAACACCTAACATTCAAAAAAGTAATAGAAAACAATTGAGATATGGTCATATGTGGAAACCAAGCAAGAACTTAAAGAAAAAGGAAGTAGTGTTTTATCCTGAACTGACATCACACACAATCATCCCCTCCTACAGAATTAGGTTCTGTTTGATAACATGTTCAACACTCAATTCTGAATTTATTCAGCACTGATGTAATTTTATTTAACTAAGTGTGTTTAATAACACATAAGTATAAAGCGGGGAAAATTTACTTATCGAACACCTAACATTCAAAAAAGTATCAGAAAATTTTCTTAATTAATTAGCACTTAAAATTTCGCTCTAAATATTTTCAGTTATCAAATAGCACCTTATTCTCTGACAATCAATACAAACTATATAGTTGATCTTCCAAGTAAACACAGGAAGAGAGAAATATAATTTAAACATAACCAGCATAGTCTAACGGCTAATTTCAATGTCAAGCCTCAAGAGGTCCACCCGTGCATATGCACAACAGTCTCTTGCATCAGAATTTGCCTTCAGTTTCATATAAAAGGAAAGAGAAACTAACCATTCTCCACGAACATCTGTTACTGTACGGATGAAATTTCTGCTTGTCAAGACATACTCGTTATAAATGACCCACTCAGGCTTGTGATCGAGGCAATTTGAAGGGTGCAAGTGAACCACCTACATATGCCAAAATTAATTAATTTTCAAAAAAAGTTTCAACTTAATTATATCCTAGAACTTAAAACAAGTTAAAGGATCATTACACATACTTGATTGTCTTTCACAGTCAAGTAATGTCCAGTGCGCTCCAGATGAGCTACCTGCATGAAATATCCAGCTAGCATAGCCTTCCTGATATTGATGTAGTAGTCGCGACTGTTAAAATCTGTGCTGCATAGCTTGAGGTTGAACCTGGCCATGATCCGAACTAGCTGTTGTCTCACATTATCAGCAGCTTTCAGTGTCCTATGATTGATGAAATTTTCATAACACCAAGATTGGTCCTCACCTGAATTGCTCACAGATAAACAAAATTATGAGCACCAATTGGCATCAATAATAGCTTCAATGGTTCTAAAAGTTAAAAGATAGAATGAAATTCAGCACTCACCATTTTGTTTGTATGCATGGTATACATTCAAGAGCGTGAGATGATCGCCATCAATGTGCCCAAATCGAGCTTTCGCTTCGTCTGCAGCTTTTTGAGCCTCCCTAGGCCGGACAAAGCAATTGGGTACTAAAGAAAAAATTGGTTATCACAGAGGAGGCCCACGGTAGGTCAGCAGATGCATAGAGGCGAGACGACACCATTTTCTTCATGAGAGAATACTGAGAAACTGCAACTATCTGCATCAGCACGCACTTAGATATTCTATGGTGCATGCCAAGCAGAGGCATGGAACCAGACAAGACAGTTGCTGATGACATCCTAAGCAGACACATGCCTTAACCACATACGATGTACTTTTTGTTAGGGATGGCAATTTCTTCCGCCCTGGCTGGTTTCCGACCCATACTGCCCCTAATGGGACGGGTCTGGGAAGTCTTTTTGTCCTGTAGGAACAGGTATAGGATTAAAAATTAGAACCTGAGTCGGGTTCAAATTTTATATAACCTGCCCCGATTATATGACAATATTATAGTTTTACCCTTATTCTTATTAGATATCACTAAAACTATCCTGATACATATACATATATATATATGCTATAAGAGACAACGAGGGTTCTAAACATTTCATCACCACCTCTCAGTTTCTCTCACGATCCCAGCCTCATCTCTCAGTTTCTCTCACTATGTCAGCCCAGTCCCTCGCAGAGCCATATATATCACCGTCCCTCACTGCTCAACCCTAGACGATCGGTGTCCTTTTATTCACTGCTTCTCTGTCTCTCTCACGATCTTAGGTTCTCGCGTCATAGTCTCACTCACAATCTCAGGTTCTCACGCTGTCAACCATGGGACCATACAATCAGCAACAATTTCACACAGTTTTTTTAATTTCTTCTTTTTCAATATGATATTATGCAGATTGTGTGCGCTTGAATCTTCGGCGCCATATTCTTTTCTTTTTTTTTTTCTTTCTACTTTTTCATGAATTTATCATAGCTATTATTTTGTTCAAAAATCCAAAATTTTCATGGTGAATTTTTCATGGCGGGGCAGGACGGGGTTAAGTATCCCATTTATAAACGGGGCCGGGGGTGTGGAGAGGAAAACCCGTACCAGGTTCGGGATGGGTATGGGACAGTTTCTTGCTAAACGGGGCAGGGTAGGGTTTTCAGCTAGGATGCAAGGACACCCCTAGAAGGGCAAGCAAAGAATCCGTGCCGAACACCGACAAGCATCGGACACACCTTGACACATGTCGGACACGCCAAAAAACATATCCGTTTTTTTTTTATTTATTATTCGGACACGTTGCGGACACACGTCCGATATGCCATGGATACATGTTCGACACGCGTGTCCCATTATTGGGGAATTATTTTTTGATAAGTAAGACATTCTTGGGAATTTTTAAGAAACTTTTAGAAAGACAGCTGGGTTCATAAAACAATTTTACGTTTAAACAATCAGATAATTACGCTTATATTTTAGTTCAAAGGTTCAAACTCTTAAACGATGATTTTTTAGGATTTGCCATGTCGCCGTATCCGTGTCCCATATCCGTTTCCTTGCTTCTTAGGTTTTTGGAACCCCGTCCCATACCCTCCCCATTGCCATCCCTACTTTTCATACATGCATGCAGCTAAACATATGACATCATATGCACAGATACATGTCTATGCACATGATAGAATGAATGAGCATGCACCCTTGAATAATGAAGCACAATTTGGTAGCCCAACGGGTACTTCCATGTATAACTAAGATGAGACTCGAGTCAGACACAAAAAAAAAGAAAAGATAACTGACTACAATACCTGAAAGCATGGCAGATATAGACAGAATTTCATTTGAACAGTTGAATTCAGGGCTGACAACGAGCATCTTCGCCATCTGTGGATCTAATGGGAACTCACTCATGATCTCACCAAGCTTGGTCAAGTTTCCCTCATCGTCTAGTGCACCCAAGTAATTCAAAACCTCTAATGCCCGCATCAATGTCTCTGGGGCAGGAGGGTCCATAAAATCAAAATGGACTAGATCATCTATCCCTAGTTTCTTTAAGGTGAGAACTGTGTTTGCAAGGTTTGATCGCAGTATCTCTGGATAGGTTTGCGGCTGAAGATCATTATGGAAACTTTTTTCGGTGTAGAGTCTGAAACATTTACCTGGTTGTGTTCTTCCAGCACGCCCTGATCTCTGGTGTGCACTAGCCTTTGATATTGGAGAGACCAACAATGATTCAACACGAACTCGTGGGTTATAAACTCTTTGTTTAGAAAACCCAGGATCTATGACAAAAACTATGCCATCTATCGTCAAAGAAGTTTCTGCAATGTTTGTTGATATCACAATCTTCCTTCCAGGAGGACCACCATCTGTAAGTGCAGGGGGAGCAGGTTCAAATATCTTCTGTTGCATAGCTGGAGGAAGTGTAGAATAAAGAGGCACTGCTTTTACAGGCCCCACCTGATCTCCCATATTTGCGATTTCTTTCGAAATTTTTCGACAGGCATCTTCTATCTCCTCCTCTCCAGTAAGAAACACAAGTATGTCACCTGGTGGTTCGCACGTGTGTATTTGCACAACTGTACGAATTGCTGCTTCTAGGTAGTCCCTTTCAGGCTCCTGGGTGTAGAAAATCTCCACTGGATGAAGCCTGCCAGGAACTTTCATAAGAGGTGCACCATTAAAATATCCCTGAAACTTTTCAGCCTCGAGAGTAGCACTCATTACAACTAGCTTCAGGTCAGGCCTGTTTTTTAGCACTTCCTTCAGAAGGCCAAATAAAACATCTGTTGCCAAAGTTCTTTCATGAGCTTCATCAAGGATTATCACTTTGTATTGTTCTAAAAGCGGATCTGTCATGGCTTCTCTTAAAAGCATACCGTCTGTCAAATACCTGTCATGCAAAACAAATAATTTATGTAAAAATTCAGTGCCACGAGAGAAGGAAGAAAAAACACACACACAAGAAGCACCATGGGTCAAATTAAATAGTAATAATAAAGGAAGTTAACAGAAGCAAAGAAAAACAAAGTCGTATAATTAACTTACTTCAGAACTGTTCTGGCACTGCTGCAGTCTTCAAAACGGATGCTATAACCAACTTCTTCTCCAATATTTACATCCATCTCCTCAGCAACTCGACGAGAAACAGACATTGCAGCCACCCTGCGAGGTTGCGTGCAGCCAACCATGAACTTACGGCGTTTATCTGGGGTCTCTATATCAATAGCTTCCAAAACAAACTGAGGAATCTGTGTAACAGAAACGCTACTCGGTTAATGATCTACATTCAACGAGCAAGTTCTACTTCCACTACTATGAAATTAAGACTAATTGTACAGCAATGCAGTCAAAACTCATACATATATGAATATATAGTAGCAAGAAACAAACTGAGACTATAAGATTTTTTGGTTAGAATACACAACACATATTTCATGATGTGAAGCTATGAATGCCTAGGTCAGCATATTCCAACTAGGTGTCACTTGAAAGCACCATCTGGCTTACTAGGGATGGCAACAGACCTAAAAAAAATGGGTAAACTGACCTGCCCCTCTCCTCTCCTCTCCTCTCGTCCTAGGACAGCTTTGGGAGAACCTAAAAGGAGACGTTGGCATACTTAGACCAGGTTCGGGTTGGGAATAAGGACGGGATTAGGGGTAGCCTGATGGAAAGCTGCAAATCTGATTTGCCAAGCTAGGTAAAGAATTAGAGAGTTCGGTATCAGGTAAACCAAGGTGCCAATATCATGCCACTGTTTTCTTTGCGTAAGATGATGAAAGGAATTAAGTGAGGTTAGAACAATTTAAGGAAATGGTAAAATCGGGGAGCAGAGAGGGAGGGATAAATTGTATATGGTCCAAATAGATGAAAAAAGACAAGATTCGTTTACTTACATCCCAATTCATTCTCTATATGGTGTGGCAACAAACGTCCAAGTAGTTAAATATTAGAAGAGATTTAAGAACAGTAAAGAAGTAAGACATTGAAGGTTATAGAAAGAATCAAATCACCATTAAAAAATAACTTATTATAGAGATTCTTTTATTTTTTCATCCATGTATGTAAAGACTAACCTGAGTGGTTTTACCACTACCAGTTTCACCCACCAAGATCAGGGTTTGATTGGCCTTAAAAACTTGCAAGAACTCATCTTTCTGGTGCCAAACGGGCAGAGTCTTCCTCTTCTCCAAAATGTCGTGATATCTCTGCGAGTACGGCCGCCCATTCCAACTGTTGACGAGAGGAGTCCCCATGTTTTTGTTTCCTTGAACTGCAAAGCCGTTAGATTTCGCGATCTTGCCAGAGACTGAGGTGTCATCCACTACATCGAACAAGCTTACCTTCCGCTTCCTCTCCGTACCCATCTATCAAACCCTAACCCTAATAATCTTCGACAAAAGAAATCCACGGCGAACCTACTAACCCAAAATAATAATAATAAATTAAATAAAAACCTCGAATCAGAAGTTCTCATATAAACACTAGGCTGGTATCGGTCCTAAAAAGAGAATGAAACCCTAGAAAAGAGTTTATTAAAGATAAGAGAGAAAAGGCCTGGGCTGGGCTGGACTGGGCTCAAGTGTTCCAGGTTCATCGTATACGGAGGAGAAAGTAAGAGCATCTCCAACCCAATGCTATTTGGACTGCTATTTGTAAAATATAGCAGATGGGCTTCAAATGAGCTCTCCAACAGGCTGTCATTTAGCCTGCTAAATTTTAACTTTGCCATTTCTTTTGTCAATTCTAGCACAAGAAATGGCAATTGCTATTTCCCTATTTCGTTCCTATGTAGGGCAACACAGAGAGAGAGAGACAGTGAAGAGAAAGGCAGCGACCAGGACAGAGAGAGAGAAGAGAACGGCCTGCTATTTGTCGATCAAACCCCACCACCAGCATCCCGATCAGAGCTCGACCTCAGCCCTGCCCTCCTCTCTCCCTCTCTCTCTCTCCTACACCACACACTCTCTCCTCAAACCATAGACAAATGCCTACACCATAGCCACTCCTCCGTCGCTTTGAAACTCTAGAAGGAAGCAACAGGTATGAAATCTATATATTTGCATGTATATATATATATTTGTATATATATGCTTTCTGATTTAAGAAATTTCAATTTCATTCTAAAATCCGGCATGGGCTTTGTATTTGGGATCCAAATTTGTCTCTCTGTGCATATGTTTTGTTTTACAAGTATGTTTATTGGGTAATTGCTATTTCCCAATTGGGTCTTCAATTCAATTTCTGTGTTGATTTCTCATCTTATTTTACATATACACTTGTTTACGCTTTTGCCATGGCTGCCCAGCAGCACATTACTAAAATCCCTAAGAAGAATATTGAAATCCTTCCCATGTTTCATCCCCAAATTGCCTATACATAGAAATAATAGTATGAGGGCATATTAGACACCCAGTACACCATAAATGGTGTTATCTCACAGTTGAAATTTCCAAAACAATAAAAAAATAAAATCGGACTTGATACAAACAAACTTGATATAGCATTTCAGAAAAAGATTATTCAGTTAATTTGGGGCAAAAGGACAGTAACTTGACAAACCAAATTTGGAACAAACACGAGAAATAGATATAAAGGTAAAAACTATAATAGAAAAATGAACTGAAAGGAGCAGCATAAATTCAGACAATGTATTATCTTCATTCGTACATCCTGGTATTATGTATGTGTGTGTTTGTGTTTGCATTCATCTAAGGGTAAAATGCAAAAACTTGATCTGTAAAATGGAATAATAATAACTTCCAACAAAAAATTGATCACATAAAGATGGAAAATATAAATAAATAAATAAAAAAGTAGAATAAATAAACAAATGTATACTTTATTAAACTGAAGGATTAAAATATAAAGGAAAAACATTGTAAATCACCCAATTGGATAATAAATTTAACAGTTGATAGTTCACTCTAGCTAAGACAAACTTAAAAGAAGAAGTAGATAAGACTTACTCAAAGAAAAGAATCAAAATTATTAAAGTAAGAGATTAAATCAGACATGCCTCATCTAGTATGTAGTAACAGAACAAAAAAAGGCATTTGAATCCATTTTCAGTTAAGATAACAACAATGATCTCCATAATCAATGATTCATGACTACAGAAGCTTGCAGATTGATTTACATTATATGATTCACAGTTTTGCCATAGATGGGCAATGCAAATAAAAGATTATATATAGAATTTGATGCATAAATAAAAGATTCGCATGGATAGAATATAAGTTATTGAAAAAGTTGGTTTAGGTTACAATGTTATATGTCGTTATGGACTATTTTCCTACTATATAAAATATCAGTAGCTTCATAGCCAAATTGAAATAGTTATCATAGCCAAATTAGGTTTAATTTTAATTCACTAAAATGGATAAACATGAATCTAGCTTGCCGATGAAACATAGAAAAAGTTGGTTTAGTTTACAATGAGACATCACTATTAAAGTATAGAGCTAGAAGAATCTTTGCATAATAAAGCTTTGGTTTCCATGTTATTAATTTTAACTTCTTCTCAGAGTGATAGACTCTCTCTCAATCTCTTCCCACCAGAAAAAAAAAAAATAATAATAATAATAATAATAATCAGTGATAGATGTTTGATTTTTCTTATGTACTTTGAATTACAAGACTCTTTTTTTTCTTTTTTTTTAATTAATGGTTGTTGAGGGTTCAAAGCTAATACAAATTTATGTTTTTTCAGTTACAAGGTTAGTTTTTCAAATTGTAACTTTTTTATGTGAAGTGTGAGATACAATTTTCTTTTTTTCCTATGAAAACTTTGAATTTGAAGCATTTTTACCAAACAAAATCAATGAGAGGTATTTGATTTTTCTTCTGTTGAATTAGAAGGCTCTTGTTTTTAATGGGTGTTGAGTTTTTAAAGCTGATGTAAATTCTGTCAGTTATAGAAAGTTAATTTTCAAGTTGACCCTCTTTATATGAAAGCTCTCTTTAATGGGCATTGATATGTATGTGTGTGTGTGTGTGTGTGTGAAAAAGTGAGATACACAAGTTATATCTGTCTTTGCATGATGTGATGAACTTTAATTTGCAGTCTCATTTGTTAGTTTTTTTGTGTGTTTTTGTCAGGACAATTAGCTTGATCAGCCAAGCTGCCTAAGACACAATTGCTCAGCTGTTTTTTTTTCTTCTGAAAATTCAATTGCTCAGCTGTTGTTTATGTGATTGTTATATATATTAAAGAACACTTCGGTATTCCCAATTATGACAATTATCAATGTATTGTTATATATATTACAGTAGCTTCATAGAGAAAGAAGCCAAGGAAAAAGAAAGAGATGATAAGATTATGATGGACCTTTCTAACATGGACCCTCAGGCGAAAGTTTACTACCAGCTGCGCGAGGATGAGATTCTTGCCAAACTACAAGCACAGTCAACAAACTTTGATTATTGTGTTCCTCTTCCCCCATCTCCACCGTGAAGGACACGTGAAGTTGAGACTTTTGCAGCTAGCATCTTTTGTGTAAATGAGCTGTCAAAAACAAATCTTTTGTGTAAATGGGTTCAATGTTTTAAAGCAGCTCAATTTTTGTGTAAAGGACAATGTTTTAAACAGCTAGCTTTGAATGTTGTAATGTCATTGTACATATTGCTTGTTATTTCTGACTCTTAACAGGGTAATGAGATTTCAATCCCTTGTATTTACTTGATTTCTCAAATAAATGGAGACACCAATCATAGCAAAAGAGAACTGAATTATAAGCAAACAAAACAAAATAATTGTGAATTGAATTATCGCATTTGTACAAATGAAAACATCACACACATCTAGGACTGAGACAGAACTTAGACTCCTATAGAAAGCAGTAGTAAGGAATTTTCAGTAATGGATGAAACCACAATGAAGCAAAACAAGGGTAACGTGACATGCAAATTCATTTGACTGCAATTACAGAGTAAAGACTCACATGACTACAATGACAAGTTTTTTTGGTAGAGTTTACTTGTCATGTAAATGACAAGTTACCCATTTATTTTTATATAATTTACATTCTTATCTTCTACATTGAATTTGATAATAAATTAATTAATTTTTTAATCAAGCAATTAAGCTAAACAAAATACAAACACTCACAAAAAAAATAAAAAATAAAATGGTTATTGAAAATTGGTAGTTGAAAATGGTAGTTGGAAAAAAATGATTATTGTGTCAAAAAATAGCATTTTGGATGAAATGCACCATTGGAGCAGAGTTGCTAAAATATAACATTTTGACACTGTAGCTATAGTCAAATTATAAATTTGGTATGCAAAAATGACTATTTGCATTGGAGATGCTCTAAGAGAGCTTTTACTCGAATTGCCTCAAAGTCCCTGCTTTCAATTAACTGCTTCAGAGTCCCTGCTTTCAATTAATTTAAATTATTCATTTTTTAACCTCACGTTTTTGCTGAACCAAGATTGGAGTACAGCTTGCACAATCTGTGTCCAGTCCGAACCCAACCCACACCCTTATTCTATGGCAAATATTTTTATACTAATAGGGTATCTAATTAATGTACTAAGCTTGAGCTTGATCTATCCTTCCAAAATCCTTATTGATGCTGGATTCAATGTTGAATCAAAGGTAAGCTGCTTCATTACCAACAACTCTTGGTATTTCCCCCTTGCCTGACACTGTCAATTTCTGAGCTACTCTCCCCTCCTCCTATTAGCCATACCAGCAATGACAAACTAGTATGGTTAGTTTTCCCAACAGTTCTGTTTAGCCTAAAAAACAACTACAGCCTATCTTCTAGATACCAATCCACTTGTCCCATGGTTCAACCTGGTATGACGTTCTCAAGCAATCCTGATAATAAGATTTAGTCTCTGGTTAGCAGTGCAGTGTAGACTTCCAACACTTGACCAAAGATCTATGGCTCAGCACTACAACATTTGTTCCCTCTGCAAAGCCTCCCAGGAATCTCACAAGCACATCTTATTCAGTTGTTCCTTCACCTCCCTATATGGACCTTTTTTCAAGCAAAATGCAAATCCTTCACCACAAATCAGACATAACCTGAAATAGTCTCACAATTTAGTAATCAGTGGAATTCAAATTCCTCGAGGAATATGGCCTGTAGACTCTGCCTCGCTACTCTGGTGTATCACATCTAGGAGGAAAAAAATGCTAAAATCTTTCGAGGGAAATCTTCATCTCAAAATACGATCCTCAATAGAGTAAGTGATACCATTACCTCAATTCTCAAATTGGGTACTCTGAATAACTCTACTGCTGCTCACCAAGTCCTCAAGGAGTGGAATTTATCCCCCTCTTGCTGTCGTCCCCCTCCACGGCTGCTGGATTGAGAAAACTTTGTGCGAGGTCAATCATCAATGGCAAGATCATCGGAACTGCTTCAGAAAGCCACCATTAAGGCTTCGTTTGGATACACAGAAGAGAAAAGAAGGGAAATGATAGCTATAATTTATATTCATGTTTGGATAGATAGGAGAGAAAAGAAAAGAATTGGCAATATTGTTGTTTGGATAACACAAATGAGAGAAAAGAAGGAAAAGGATAGTAATAAAATTACCATCTTACCCTTTTTGGTAGGGTTGTAGGGCAAAATCATTTCAGCCTCCCTATTCTCGTTCACCGTTCTCACTCTCTAGAATTACCAATCGCCTCCATCTCTCTATTCTCATTCTCACAGATCCTCTTTCTCTCTCTCTCTCTCCCCAACTGCAAACTACAAAATCTACAAGAATCAGAAGATCAAAACCCATATCGGCATATCATTTCAGATTGTTCCAAAAATCAAAATCAACTAATCAAGGTCTGTAATTCTTGTTTTGCAACTCTCTCTCTCTCTCTCTGCAACTGCAAACTATATATATATATATATATATATATATATATATATATTTCAGCCTTTCCAATAGCCTTCATCTCATTCTCGGCCTCCCTCCTCTCTCTGTGCAACTGTGAAAATCAAAACCCATATCCACATATCATTTTAGATTGTTAAAAAAAATCAAAACCCATATCTATTAGTTTCCATCACTCGCTGTTCCAGTTCGGTCGCCATTCGCAAAGCTTCAGCCGGCTGTCTCTCAACTCTCTTGCCCCTTCTGTAATTTGTTCCATTTCTCTCCAAATCTTGTTAATTTTGGAGGGATTCCAAATGAAGGATTTAGAGGGATAGTTATCCCTCCAAATTCCTCCCAATGCTTTCTTTTCTCTATTATTCTTCCCATCCAAACATCCTAATCACTATCCTTCTCTTTCTTTTCTCTCTAAATTCCTCAATCCAAACGAAGCCTAACGGTTGCTCTACTATCCTATCCGTTATTTTTGGCTCTTTGTTCGGATTAGGTGTTGTTGTTTGAGCCATTCCTTCTTGGGTTTGGCCTTATACTGTGTTTTTGTTTGGGCTTGATGCAAGCTTTGTTGCCCAATCATGCTTGGGTTTGTTTTGTGGCCAAAGGCCCTTTTCTGTAATTACCTTTTTATCAATATATTTGCTTCAACTTTCGAAATATATATATATATATAGGAAGGCTATCATGTAGTCTAAAACAACGAACTTTTTAACGGACCAAAAGTCAATTAGAAAAATTATACTTTATTACTTTATCAAACCTAACCATAGTTAATTTACCATAATTAGCAAATACCTTTATTCAATTTCTTTCTCCTTAATCTCTTCCATCCTCCTTGCAATCTCAACCACTACTGCCATATCCACACCATCTTCACCAATACAGCCACAACACAATTACCATATTCATTCTCCAGGGATGATAAGATTGGATATTTAATTGCATTTGTGAAATAAAATTTGAGGGAAAATGTAATGCGTGAAAACGTAAATGGAAGAAAGTGAGCAAATTGCCATAATTTGGAGATTTTTCTTATTTCTTTCTCAGTATTGAGCTATGGAGTTCTAGAAAACCCAAATTTGGAGACCTTTTATTGTTTCCATGACAGAATTAAGCAATATATGCTTTCTGTTTGAGACTCTATTATTGGAGGTTGTGTTTATTCACGAACCCTAAAAAAATGGTATCCTTTGAACCAAAAAAAAAAAAGCTTATTCACGAAGTGTGGAATAATGGGTCAACGAAAAAAATAAAAAATAAATAAGAGAGCAACAGTCAGGCCATCAAGGGAAAAAAAATAAAGAGAGCAAAAAAATAAAAAAATCAAAGTGCAAAAAGAAGAGAGGGTGACCTAGATCCGATTTTGGAGAATGAATATGGTACTTATGTTGTGGCTGTAGTGAAGAAGATGATGGTTGTGATAGTGAGGATATAGCGGTAGTGGTTGAAATTGCAAGGAGGATAAAAGAAATTAAAGAGAGAAATTGAATAAAAGTATTGGCTAACTATGGTTATGTCTGATAAAGTAATAAAGTGTAATTTTTCTAATTGACTTTTGGTCTGTTGAAAAGTCCGTTGTTTTGAACCACGTAAGTGTCTTCCTGTGTATTTATAATAGAGTTGTACTTGGACAGAAATTATATTAGGCTTAGGTTGAGTGAGATAGAGGAGCCCAACTGAAACCAGAAATTAACATCAATTTTTATATATCATTCCCTTTTTTTAGTCTATTTTTTCATTTAATTTCTATTAATCTTTTGCTGATTAATTTCATAAAATGTTGTATATTTACATTTAGATTTATAAATGTCATGTGTAAAACTAACCTAACCCGAATTTTATCCCCAAAAATAAATAAAAACTCACCTAACCCAAGGCTAACATCAATTCAATTTTCAGCTAGGTTCTTCTAACTTGAGCTCAATTTTACATTCAAAAATCTTAATGTGGATCTGACTTGGGTTGAAGAGTTGGGATTGGATTTGAGTTGGAATACCACAATCCCAAGTTGCGAGTTAGGATGGATCAGTATACTTTACTTGGCAACAAAAAGTAGGGCTGGGCAAAAAATCCGCGAGTTCGTGGATCCAATCCGATCCGATCAAATCCATACAGATCGGATCGGATTACTAAACCCACGATTGGGGGCAGATTCAAAAATTTTGAATCTGTAATTCACGGATTAACCTGTCCAAAATCCGATCCGATCCGTGAATCCGATCCGTGGCTAATCCGTTGCATATATACATATAAAATTAATATTATACAATATAATTACTTATTTATTGCTCTTGGACCAATGGACCGTGGACCACCGACATACCAATATTAGTCTTTAGTTACTTTACTCTTCTTTTTTTTCATTTAATTATTCTAACCTAGCCAAAGAATCGAAGATGCAAGAACTGAACGAAGAGCAAAGAGAAATCAACGAAGTGGTCGCCTCTGCACCTCACTCTCTTCTTTTGATTTATTCTGTCGTCTCCTTCACCAAATCGCAACAACGGCTCTTTCATCGTCCAGATCTATACCGTTTCCAGTGAGTCTTTAGACTGTGGGTCTTCCTTTTTTTTCTACAGTTCTTTCATCGTCTAGATCTGCATTCTTCTCTTTATGATTTTGATTTTTGAAGTTTGTTACTTTGTTTTCTGGTTAAATTTCTATGATTATATACAGTAATTTATAATCTGAGCTGTCAGATTAAGCAAGACATAGATAAAATTATATATTACACTACTGATAATGAAAATTATAACTCTATTTGTGATAATGAGAGCAATCTTGAGTAATAGTTTATTCATGCACATGTCTAGGTAAATCATATAAGCATAAATTAAATTGATACTATATATATATATATTTAGTTAAACTTCAATGAATCAGTAGCTTTATTCAAATCTGTAGCTTTGTTCTAACAATAGCTATTATTCAGTTATTTCATAAATACTTATATTGAATAAAATTTATATTACAATAATTTCAGTTCTATTTTTCTATATTTTCTTAAATTTCAGACATTTAATTTTTTTTCCCCTTTCTTGGCAGATGACAACTGCAGGAGCTTTGTTCCAATCTGAAAATGGATTATTTTAGAAAATCCAATCCGCAGATTGGATCCGATCTGATCCGTTATTTCACAGATCGGATCCGATCCGATCTGTGGGCTAATGGATTGGTGGCGAATTCAAAGTCTCTCAATCCGTTGCGAGCAGATCGGATTAAAATTGATGCCTAATCCGATCTGATCCAATCCGTGACCACCCCTAACAAAAAGGGATAGAACCAATTAATTTTACGCCTAAATTAAAAATTGTAGTAGACTGGTTTTGAGAAGAATTGGGCCCAACTTAATGGGCCTTAAATCAATTTCAAATTAGATGTAATACAACAAAATCCAAAAAGCATGGAACTTCTAAAACAAGTATTACAAATATGACAATCTACACCAATTAATTTTGTATTTGAATAAAATTAGGACAAAAGTACCCCTCACCAACTTTTTTTTATTATTTTACTCAAATGCCCTTCAATTAAACCTAGGTCACCACTCCATATGGGTTTCATTTGCAGTAATGTGTTTCATTTGAACAAGATATGGGTTTCATTTGTCTACAATTTCTTCATAACCAGTAATATCCAGTACATATATATGCAATTTATTTATCTGCAATTGATTTGGGTCTCTGATGCGCAAGAGAGTGGTGGTTGGTGGTTGACGGTGATGTTTGTGAGTAATCCACCATGTTTTGGGTCGAACAGAATGATTTTACATGGGGTCACCGGAGAAGATGAAGTCGCCGGAAAAATGGTGGTTTAAAAAAAATATATCTTCTAATTTTTTGGCAATGAAATAGTGGGTTATTTCTTGTGCTGTTAGGCATGGTTATTTGGGCAGTTGTAGTTAACGAGGCGGTGGTTAGGCTGTGGACAGTAAGGTGGCACGTGGGGTTACAGAGTTGAGTTTTTGCTGTTAATGATATACATATATATGTGTGTGTGTGTGTGTGTGTGTGTGTGTGTGTGTGTGTGGTAGTGGTGGTGGTGGTGGTGCTGGGAATGAAGCTGAAGTTGTGGTTGGTGCCTTGGTAGTCGGTGTTGGTGATGATTGGTTTGGTAGTCAATTTGTTGGTGATGGTCATTGGTGGCAGTGATGGTGATGGTGGTGGCTGATGGTGATATAGAGAGAGAAAATGTATAGAGATTTTAAAATTTTATTTTATTTGTTAAATTTTAGTAAAATTAAATATGAAGGGTACATGTGTAAATGGCTCAAAAGTGGATATATTGGACCAAAAGAGTATAATTCAGTAATTATTTTAGTTCAGTGCTCTTTTACTCATATACTAGAATACAGTCATATTTGTAAATATACCAAGTTAAGTTGTCAATTATTAAATTTTTTCTAAGTTTTATGGTCTATCCTAATATATTATTTATGAAGGGGAATTTTCGGATAGAAAGTGAAATGGGTATTTATATGGGTTGAATGTTAACCCTACTTAACAACTTAAGCTTTTAAAGCGAATCGCGAAATACCTAATCTGTTACCGTTGTCATCAAAGTCAGACCCAGTTTTATATTCGATGTCACACCAAACATAGAGTGACCCGACCCAACGAGAGCAACAAAGGGAGTCTTGTTCTCCAATTTTAAGGGAAGTCTTTAGTCTTGTCCCACATTTGTTATAAGAGTGTCTTTAATACAAAATGCTATATTTTCATGCCAAATTTATATTTTGAGATAAGTTACAGCGTCAAAATGCTATATTTTTGCAATTATGTTTTAATGGTGCATTTAATCCAAAATGTTATTTTTTTTTACACAACAACCATTCCATGTTTTGAGAGCCCATTGGAGTGCCTTAATTTCATTTTAGCAACTTTTGACAATCTCAAAATATGAGAGGTCTTTTGAGAACCTATTGAAATACCTTATTTTCATCCACTTGCTACATTTTGAGTTTGAGAGGCCATTTGAAAGCTGCTATATTTGATAATACTTTTGACCAAGGGCGGACATAAGGGCGGGCTGTAGCCCACCCCAAAAAAAAATTTTTTTTTTTTACTATACTAATATATTAGCCCAGTCCAAAAAAAATTTAATAGTACTAGCCCACTCCAAAAACCTAATGAAGCCCAACTTCAACTCAGACACCATAATAAAAGAAAGGCCCAAACCAAATAACCCCATGATGGGTACCAGAAAAATAATAATAATAATAATAATAAAAACTTAGGGCAAATCATTTCACGTTTTACACTTTACAGCCTCCCACAGTCTCGGCCACCACTGTCCCATGTTTGGCACTTCAGCTCCTTCAGACTTCAGTCCTTCAGATTTTAATTTTTTGTGCAAATCATTTCATATTTCAGGCTTTCCTTTTCAGCCTCCCATGGTCCTATGGTCTTACCCAAAAAATTGGAATTAGTTTCTTGATTCATCAATCATCATTCATCACTGTGCACGATCAATTGATAATTTGATATTCAAGGTAACTCAATGACTCATAATTCATTTCTTCAATTATTCCATGTGTATATATATATATATATACATATTATGCCATATTTTTTCTTAACAAAATTACTTAATATAGGGTTTAGTTAATTGATTGATATTTTTTTATTTAGGTAAATTACTTAAAAGTCAACAAATTGAATTGAATCACACAATTTCTAATTGGATCTCCTTTTGCAGAAATTGTTGAAGGCCAACAAATTGGAAATGCTTTCAATCTTTCATCACTTCAGAGTTCAGACTCTATAAAGCACAAATGCACAACAAATTGGATTAATTGATGTTTAAGGTAAGTCATTTCTTCAATTATTCAATATATATATATATTTATTCCAGATTTTTTTCTTAATAAAATTACTTAATATAGGGTTTGGTCAATTGGTTGATATATTTTGATTTAGGTAAATTGCTTAAAAATTTAAAATTACTTGTTTTGCAAACTAAAAAGTCTAAAATAGAATTAAACAACATCGTTTATGTTACTTTGGAAAAAGTAGACAAGCAGTGATACTGTGATAAAATGTTAAAATGTAAAAACTACACAAGCAGTGATAGAATGTTAAAAAGTAGAAACTACAGTCTATAGCTGGTCTTAGCATGGTATTGGTTGATATATTTTGATTTAGGTATTTTTTATCTAACTCATTCTTTAATTTTATTAGGTTAAATAATAATGGCTCAATATCAACCTCCAAATAAGAAAGTGAAAAGTATGTCTATTCTCTCATTCTATCAAAAGAGAGGCCAAATGAGTGATGATGGTCAATCGAAAAAAGATATACCTAGTGGTAGTGCATCTAATGTTGACAATGATCAATTGAAAAATGATATACCTAGTGATCTTGATTTGCAACCTCCTGCGGTTCCTGCCCTACCTCAAGTTGTTAAATCCAATCAACTTCACTCCACTTCTATTGAAAGAGATCCTGGGTTACGTATTCAAATACATGAATATCCAGTAAATCAAATGGATGAGGTTAAACGAGCTTACATTAATTTGGGGCCTTATCAACCTAAACTTTCCAATTATCCTAACTCTTCAGATGGAAAGCAGAATCGACGATTTAAGTATTAACGGTTCAAGCAATTTCTTTGGCTAGAGTATTCTCCTTCAAAAGATATAGTATATTGTTTTCCATGCTTTCTCTTTAAAAATACGGTGGCGAGTCGTTCTTCATTTGTAGTTGGTGGATTTAGCGGTTGGAAGAGAGTTAATGATGGAAAAAATTGTGTATTCTTGAAACACATGGGACTTCAATCCTCACCACATACAAAATGTGCCATGCTATATGGGAATTTCAAGAAATCGGCACAACATATGCCCAATCAAGAGAGGAGGTTTTGAAGAATCGAATGCGGCTTAAAGCAACTATTGAAATTGTTTGCTTGCTAACATTGCAAGGAATTGGTTTTAGAGGCCATGATGAAAGTTCAAGTTCATTGAATCGAGGGAATTTTATTGAAGTGTTAAAGTGCGAAGCGGAAGGAAATGATGAACTTTCAAGTGTTATCTTAGACAATGCTCCACAAAATGCCCAATACATTGCTCCATCAATTCAGAAAGAGGTTATTCATATTCTTACAAATAGAGTGAGAAAAGTGATTTGTGATGAAATTGCGGGAGGTAAATATTGTATTCTTGTTGATGAAGCACAAGATGAGTCTAATATAGAGCAATTGGTTCTTGTTTTATGATATGTCAAGCATGATGGCTTACTAATGGAACATTTTTTTGCCATTGTGGGAGTTGAAAACACATCAGCAGTTACGCTTAATGATACAATATGTGTTATTCTTGGTCGGTTTGATCTTTCAATTCAAAATTTGAGAGGTCAAGGGTGTGATACCCCTCGGATCCGAGACACGGGTTGATCAAGTCCGACCCGAGTCCGAGGGATATCAAACAATTAAAGTATTTTAAACGAATACAGATTACAAAAAAAATGATTCAAGAAATAAAAGAATAAGCGGAAAGAAACTATAAAAGAAATCCTCAATATAAAAACCTTAAAATCCTACAATCCAAAATCTCCAATCTTTTAACAACTCGGGAATCCATCTCTAGTGGACCCCTAATATAAAAATCCCAAACTGAATCAAAGTAAAACTGAAGATAAAATCCAAGTCGAACATCTGGAAAGAGATCCTACATCGTCGGAAGAATGAGTGACCGTCTCTGCTCCACATGAACAAGCTCAAGCCTGGAACTGACGTACACCTGTAAAATAGGAGTAGGTCAGGCCCACGAACAAGTTCTATCCTACTGCAATCCAAGCAGAGACCCGATACGCATGTACATACTAAATAGTTCAACAATAGCTAATAGTCCGTACATAAATATATATCCACACTACTGGACCCTCGCTAGACTATGAAGAGGGTCTCAACCTGAATAGAAGGCATCACACAAATCGCACCTGAGTGGGTATGAGTACCTAAGCCTAAACAGGGTATACCTCAATCCCCATAGTCAGCTACACATCTAACTGCATATATACATCCTAACCGTTGACTCTGAGACTCAAGCTCATGTCACGGTACCATAAAAATATATTTAAACTCCAATTCCATCCATCCACAAGAAATCCATGAAGTCGTTCGGCGTAGTCAACCGCACCGACTTACATACATATAAGGAGGATTTATTTAATAACCCGTACCCTCATTCCAAATAGGTAGAACTTAGCAACTTGTGTTGTCCAAACCTAGTATGTCACCGTCCCATACCGGTACATACAATCCCATCCGTCCAATAGTTGATAAACCATATACAAGTACATAACAATATCAACGAGTCCACATCAAGCATATCAGAATGTATTAACAACCGTTCTTGAATAGTCCCAACAAATTGATTAACATTAGAAACATAAATATCAATATTAATTACTCTATTCCACACATTTAAATAATTTATAAATGCCAAAACCAACAATTCCAACCTAACCATGTTAGAATAGATTAACCATCATGCTTTAATAAATCCAACCATTGATTAAGTACTAACAGTATCAGTGTCAAAACCCACAGTTCCAAACTAAGCACATTAAAGTATACTAGAAAAACATGCTTAATTAATCCAACAATAAGCCATTACCTGATCACCCACAGGATTGTGTCTGTAAATATAAGTTTATTCCCGGTATCCATAATTAACAGAGCTTAAACAAATGTTATAATATTTATTTCCATAGCATGGATAATAAATCTAAACAATTTATCATACTGTTAAGTTCCTATTCAACAAAATTGACGAATTAAATGTTAAGTTTAATCATCAATTAATCTTTAGCAAAAATACAGATTCCTTGTATGTATATATATTCTAAGAATTTGCAATTAGCAGTGCACAAACTCTCACAGGAATTTTCCATTATAATCTAGGAGTTAGAAACTCCAAATCCACACAAGTCTACAAGACATTCGTAATTAACTCCATGTAATCCTAATGATTAATGCTTTGTGTCTAATTCTATGTTAATCTGATATTTGAATATTTATGTTTACTCTAGACCACTCCTAAACCATCCATTACAGTATTTATTCTCCACTAAAACATAGTAAAACAATCACTATGAAGCTTAATCACTGAAAAGTGGAAAAACAAACAACAGAACCAAAAACCCACGTAGAAAACAACCTGGAGCCGGCTCCAGAATATTGGAGCCGCCTCCAATGGCCTTGGAGCCGGCTCCTAGACCATTAGAGCCGCCTCCAATCCAAGGAGAGCCGCCTCCAATCCAATAGGAGCCGGCTCTTTCCCTCCTCTTCTTCGTGTTCTCCTCTCCAGTCGTCGTTTACGCCTCCGACACTTCACAGTATAGGTTTTCAGAGAGTTTAACTTAATCCCAGAAGATTCCAACCCTTAATTCAGTCCTTATTATGCTACTAATATGGATTAAACCAAGAATTAAACAAAAAAGTTCAAAGTTAACCAGTTTAACAATTTTAAAACAAATTTAGTTTTAGTTAAACTCTAAACATGAAACAGATAACGTTTTTATTTTTAAACATGTAATTCATCCTGGAACTATTGAGTATGCAAAGAACACGAGTATAAGGGAGAGAGTAAGGTTAGAACTTGCCTTTGAGATCTTTGTTCAAAATCTCTACGCCGTCTCTAAAGCTTTCCGACGATTCCCACTGCAAAACTACTCTGTTACTTCTCTATCTCTAGAGACGTGAATAGGGTTTTGTTTGTTTTCTAAAACCCTATACAGACATCTCACATATATTTATAGGGTTTTACTAAACCCTAGATTAATTCCAACCCTCCTAAAAATCCTCACCGACCCAAAGAAACCTAATAAAACCTACGTCGACAACAACTGACTTTTAAAACAAAACCCTATTTAAAAATACAATTAAATTAAAATAATTACCACTTAAATTAAATTAATCAAACCATTTTATTAAATTAGATTAAATCAATTAAACAGTTAAATTAAATCAAGTAAAGCATTTAATCCTAATAAAAAAAATAACTAAATGCAATCAAAACACAACCATGAAAACAATTAAACTAAAACAAGGTATAAACATAAAACCCAACAAACTCATAATGAAATTTAAATAAATTTTCAATTAAAACAAACCAATTCATAATTAAATAAATAAAAATATAATTTAAACAATAAAATAAATTCCAAACCTATCCTTTTTAAATTAGGGGTATTACAAAGGGTACGATGGTGCTAGTAATATGCGTGGCGAAAGGAATGGACTACAAGCATTATTTCTTAAAGATTGCCCATTTGCTTATTATGTCCATTATTTTGCTCATCGATTACAACTAGCATTAGTTGCAGCAGCAAAAGATGAGACGTCTCTCACCTAACTTGTATTGTCAATCTTGTTGCTTCCTCTCCTAAGCGTCTTACTGAATTAAAATCTTTTCAAAGGGATGAGATTGCATGTATGTTGAGCACATGTGAACGTGAATCTGGTAAAGGGGCTAATCAGATTGGCACCTTGCATCGAGCTGGAGCTACCCGTTGGAGCTCACATTATGATTCTGTGAAGGATTTGATTGATATGTATAATGCATCCTGCAGAGTTGTTGAAAGTCTTAAAAATGGTGGACAAAGTCAATAAATACGTGGCAAGCTTCAGGTGTTTACAAGGTAATGAGAAGCTTTGAATTCATATTTATTTTACACCTAATGGATAACATTATGAGATTCACTGACACACTTTGTCAAGCCTTGCAATGCAAATCTCAAGATATTCTTAATGCTTTGAAATTAGTCTCATCAACTAAAAATCTCCTTCAAAAATTCAGAGAAGATGATTGGGATATTTTTCTTGCCAATGTGGTGTCATTTTGTAATCGACATAACATTGATATACCTAATTTGAGTTCTTGTTATGTAGAGGGTACGGGTCGTCATTGTCAGCAACAAGATCATATTACAGTTGAGCACCATTATCACTTTGACATTTTCAACTATGCAATAGATTTACAGTCGATGGAGTTAGAACATAGATTCAACAATGAAGTAGTGGAACTTCTTACTCTTAGCTCGGCTTTGGATCCTAATGATTCTTTTAAATCTTTTAACGTGGAAAAGATATGCAATCTTGCTGAGAAATTCTATCCTTGGGACTTCACTGGCCAAGATGTTAAAACATTGAAGTTTTAATTGATGCATTATCAACTTGATGTATCTAGTGATCCTGAGTTTCAGAATATTTCTTCTCTTACTGATTTAAGTCGGGAACTAGTTGTAAGCAAGAAGTTTGCGTACTACCCTTTGGTTGACAGATTGATTCGTCTTGTGTTGACTCTTCTTGTTTCTACAGCAACTACGGAGAAAGCATTTTCAGGCATGAAACGTGTTAAAAGAGCGATGCGTAGCAGGATTGGAGATGAATTTCTTGCTGACTGCATGACCATCAATCTTGAACGAGAGCTTGTTTGGAAAATTGACTTGGAGTTTGTTACTGATGAATTCAAGTCTTTAAAGACTCGTCGAGCACAACTTAGATAGATATTTTGTAATCTTTGAATTTAAATATTTATCTATATTATGTTATAATTTTTTTTTTTTTTTTTTTTTTTTTTTGCTTAAGAAATTTTGTTATTAAATTTAAGTTTAATATTAGCCCACCCCAATGAGAAATCCTGGATCCGCCCTTACTTTTGACAATCTCAAAATATAAGAGATCTTTTGAAAGGTCATTAGAATGCCTTAATTTCATTCACTTACTATATTTCAAGTTTGAGGGGCCATCGGAGATGCTCTGAGGTTGTTTGATTTATTGTGGTCAAAAATATTACTCCTGATGGCTTATATAGCATGTATGTATATTTAATTCATTCAATTGAAATGTTACATGAGTAAAAACATCATTTTTGTGAAAAATGAATAACAAAAAGAAAAGACCCATACCATTAGATCTAATAATATACCATGTTATATTGTTATATACTGATTTAATTAGTGGGTGCACATAACAAGTGATTTAGGAATTAGGTTTAATGCCATGCATGTCTCATGAAATTGATATAACTGGTTTGACTCCCTTCTTGAATTGAATTATGATCAATTAGCCAAGAAGCGTGTGTTTGAAACTTGTGCATGCATGCATGCATGCATTGGAGAATTAGTCTTTGCCCTCGCTGCGAAGAAAATAAATAAATTTTGATGTTGCCGCGTCGTTTTTGTTGTAGGGGACTTGCATTTGTGCTGTATGTGTTTGGGATCTGTGACAAGTCGACAACATTTATCATTTCATAAAATTAAAAAGAGTGACAAGTCAATTTCAGTGTGTTAATAGTGTTTATTTACAGGTTACTGTCAATTCTAGAATTTTATGAATTGACATCCTAATTGTATTAAATTTCTTGCAAGAATAATTATATTCCTTCCAATATTTTGGCCCAAAGATTTGGCAACCCTTGGAGTCACTGGATTCCAATTCATTATTTCATTTACAATCGAGCATCTAAGTTCGTCAACATTTTTTATTATTATTTTATTGTCCCTTGAAATATAAAAAAAAATAAAAAAAATAAAACTCCAACGTTATATTTTAAATAGTGACGTTGTACACTAAGTAACAACCTTTAATATTAAAAATTAAATTCTACTCCCCATTTCACTCAATTCAAAGGGAAAAAAAAATCCCCGTTAATCCAATGCAATGTTTAGCAGTGCCAAGTCCGCGTGTCTAATTCATTACTTTTAAATGCAACATAAGTTTGGTATATGTGAATACCTACATATATAGAATATATAAGTAATACTTATTGTTAATTAATTAATTGAAAATATATTATTTTTAGAAATAAAAAAGATGGTCTCGATATATAGAAACGGATAACATAAACAATATTTACCAAATATATATATATGTATAACTTAAACAATCATTAGGAAGACAAACCTAGCTCAGATCCATTCATGTCTCTCTCCCTAGTCAATATTATTATTATTTATTCAAAAAAGAAACACAACATTATTATTATTATTATTATTATTATTATTATGTTAAATATAGTTTGCATACTGGTGAGGAGGATATATTAATCTACTCCAAATCATTGATATATATGGTACCCAAAAAAAAAAAGGATTTTTGAACATAATGTGTCATTCTCTTCTTATTAAAAAATAAGTAATAGATTTGTCCTCACCGGTGCAAAGAAAATTTTATTAGAAACGAATTAACATAATGAATACAAGTTTTTGCAAAATTTCCAAAATTAAAGTTAGCTCTTATTGCCCGTTAAGAACTAGCCCATTCAGTTTAATTGGGTTGTACCAGGCTAGCATCGTCAACGTGCAGTACTTGGCCGGTTCAGTACTTTCTATATCACATTAAAAATCAATCTTAATTAATGTCTCCGGGTACATACACACACATATATATATATAGAGAGAGAGAGAGAGAGTACGGCTATTTAATATTATGTGTCGAATATAATGACACTCATTTTAAACTATAAGGTAATTAAGTATTTGAAAAGTTGTAATATTTTTTTTAGGTTTCATTTTAATATTATATCTTTGTTAGTTATTAAAGTTTCAATTAAAATGTATATCAAATTGTATATGTGTTATATATATATATATATATATATATATATATATATATATCACGTTGCATCTCGATCTCTAACGCATAGATACTTAAGATTGTATTTACTATATATAATTAGATAGGCATTTGTTCATCGATATAGTGATCAAAACTAATGATCTATGTGACTAAAAAACAAAAACAAAAACAAAGAGAGGAATTTAAAGAAATATTGCAAAGTATTGAAAAATTGAAAAATATTGTAGCTTTTGTTCTAAATTTTGTACCAATCAAATTCTTCTATTTGAGTAACATAAAAAATATTGTGAAAACGAAAACGAAGATGATATGGTTATAATAAACTAAAAAAGAAAAATTCACGTATTTTATAGAAATAAATAAGAATAATAATGATGTTATTTAAATTGAAATTTTATTATACATATGTTTATTTAATTCGGATTTAGATCAAACTATTAAAGTCGTCCAAAATATAATTTCCCATATACATATATGGTTGGAAGTGCAGCATTGTAGTAGTAGCACCCAAGAAATAAATATATATATATTCAAGTAGTATAAGTATTTTGAATATAAACAATCAAAAGTTTTACCATGGACGTACAGTAGTGGTAAAGATCGAATTGCACATGGAAGACCAAAATCTCTGATGTTGAAGTACACCACCAACGGTATCACGCGCGTACACGTGATTTACTGTACGTTGTTAACGGGATCCAAGGGTGGGTCGTTATTTATTAGAGTGGAAAAAGAGAGATACGGAAAATTTATTGCTATAAATAAACGAACATATTTCAATGGGTGTGGGTCAGTGATGTGGTGTGTGTACGATTGCTATAAATCAGCAATTAATGATGCAATCGATATTCAATATATGGTGCGGTACAATTTCTATAATTAAATAACCCCATTTTTGGAAGAAAGAAAACAAAAAGGTATTATAAAGGGTGAATTGTAAAAAAAAACCTCATTATTACTCACTTGTAAAAAAAACTCATATAAATATTTTTAGCATAAAATCATCCTCAATTATATTGAGGGGAGTATTTTAACTTAACACCATGTAATAATTTTTTGAGGCAATTTTTTGGACCAAATTATCCCTCAACATTATGGATTGCGTCATTGTTCAGTCCTTCATTAAATTTGGTGAACAAGAAATTCAGTCAAACCCAAATTTTATGACGATTTCATCTATCAAACAATACTAAAATTTTGTGCTTCTTGATTTCTAAACTATTATTAGGGGGTGTTTGGGGATTAACACTGTGTAATAATTTTTTGAGGCAATTTTTTGGACCAAATTATCCCTCAACATTATGAATTGCGTCATTGTTCAGCCCTCCATTAAATTCAGTAAACAAGAAATTCAGTCAAACCCAAATTTTCTGACGATTTTCATCTATCAAACAATTCTAAAATTTTGTGCTTCTTGATTTCTAAACTATTATTAAGGGGTGTTTGGGGATGATATTGGAAAGAACACAAAAGATAGTGATGATGATAAGCAGTGTAATGATCAGATATGCACTTACCAAACCACCATTGTAAACTTATTTTTCATCTTTTTTGGAAGTTTTTTTTTCTTCCTCCCTCCCCCACAACTTGTGTCCGATCACACTCATATCATCACATTCAATCCCTCCACTCTTTTCCTCCACTCTTTTCATCACTAAACTTGGTCGCATCTTACTTTACCCATTAAGCTAGCCCAAAAAAATTTATGAAGTGAAAAGGGAAAAGGAAAGGAAATTAAGGACAAATTTTGTAAAGAGCGGCGGCTGCGGCGGCAGAGAGTTGGTGATGACCTGTGAGGGGTTAATGGCACCAGTGAGTTTGCCCACCGTAGAAGAGCAGTGATTGTAGATAGAAAGGAATTCTTTGTGCCAAGGAAGCATAGACTTGTGGCCTGGGCCCAAGGGAGATGCATGTAGTTGTATAGAAAGATCCGCGCTTGGTGAGGCTTTGGGAAGAGAATCGGCTGTGTACAAGTCAGCTTAGGGCGTTGGAGTTGGAGACACGCCAGATACGACTGTTGCAAACATAGGGACATTCCAAAGAATGGCAAGTTTGGATCCTTGCGAAACACGAGTGTCCGTCCAATCCTGTTTTCTCGAAGAAAAAAAACTGCATTGACAACCATTTTGGAGAAACTTTTAGCAAGTTATTTTTCATTTTTATCGTTACAATAGTTTAGAAATCAAGAAGTACAAAATTTTAGTATTGTTTGGGTAGATGAAAATCGTCAAAAAATTTGGGTTTAACTGAATTTCGTGTTTATCAGATTTAATGAAGGTCTGAACAATGACGCAATCCACAATGTTGAGGGGTAATTTGGCCCAAAAAATTACTTCAAAAAATTATTATACGTGTTAAGTTAAAATACCCCCCTTAGTATAGTTGAGTGGGATTTCTTGCTAAAAGTATTCATGAAAGGAGTTTTTTGCAAGTGAACAATAGTCAAGGGGAGATTTTTGCAATTCGCCCAATTATTAATTCATAGTACGTATTGATTAGCATGCCATGAGCTTAATTAATAGCTTTAAAAAATGGGCTAAAAATAAATGCAATGTACAACTGCATGCATGCACCCCTCAATCGATCAATAAAATGATAACATATATCATCATCATTTATGAATTGAGTTTAATTATGTATCATAACATGCAAACTTAGTAATCGATACAGGGTAACTATTCATATTACAGGGCACGTACATAGGTTGGGAATACATATATATATATATATATATATATATATATATATATATATAATTAATTAGCTAGTATCATTTAAAATTGGTGGGAGTGGAAGTGGAAGTGGAAGCCAATACTACTCCTTCATTGCCTGCCAAGATCAAGTATTTGTCCGTCCTTGTTAGGGTAGTGCATTGAAACCCTAAAGCCATAGCAAGCTGAGTTTGTATATAATTGGCGACCTCAAACCTTGAGTTGTTTTGGGATGATGATGATGATGAGCGGCGTGGAGGAGTAATTATCTTATCAAGAAAGTGAATGGTGTAAGTGGGGGAAGGGTTCATGAGGAAGAACAAAGGGTCGAGACACTTGAAGCCACTTGCAGTAGTACCATAGAACATGCTAACACATGTGTCCATAGCAACAGGGACAATATCAACACTCATCTCTGAAAACAATGGGCTAAATCTCAGCAAATGAGGTTCCCTGCAGGTTGTTCCTTCTGGGAAAATAATCATGTCTCCTTCATCCAACAACTTCTCCATAATCTTGGAATCTTCAACCCTGTCCCTCGTTAATCGGACGGTTCTGATTGGTGCCAATATCTCTGACAATCTACTTAGGCTGTAGGTAACTGCGCTCAGTGGTTTCTTTAGACCAAAAGATAGGTAAAGAGGGTCCAGTAAAGTTCTGTGGTTAGATACGTATAGAAGCCCTTTGGCTTTGGCTTTGGCTTTGGAGTCCTCCTTGATGATCATGTTGTGGTTTGATTTTGTAACCACTTTCAGTCTCAGCCCACTGAAAACTAAGATAGGAATGAGACAGTTGTAAGGCAATGACAAGCCAACAACGGTCCTTATGATGGCAAGGGTCAACCCAAATGGGATCCACATAAACATGGCGACAATGGCTAGTGGGGTTGGCCTCAAAGCCAATCTACCATCGTGGAAAATGAGGGGCTCAGGGTATCTGTCCCTTGGTAGGTTATGCCAGCTCCGTCTGTCTGCTTCATTCACCAAGTATATTTCCTGTTGCAACAACCGGCATAAGATTAAAGAGCATTAATAATATGCATTTCAAACATATATATAAATATATATACACACACACAAATTAATAATGGAATTCATCCATACATATATATATAATTATATATATATATATTTATGACGAATCAGTGCACAAAGCTCATGTCATTGCGAGCAAATTAAGAATATATATATAATTAACTTGTGTTATTGGATCTCATCCTATCCTATTTTTTTCATCTAACTCTTTTTGCAGTTAATTATATAGTTGCACAAAATATCATTTTAAGATCGGGATAGAGAAACACATTTATGGATGGAGAGAAAATTTATCTTTACCTACCAAAAATAGAAAAAGAAAAAAATGGTTGTAATTATTAATGTATGAGATCTGTACGTAATTAGACTAGTGCTGACCTTGCAATGAGAGAACAAGTGATGATCAAGAGGTTTGGTGGAGCTAGTGATTCCGATTACGTTAGAGCTGGTTATCTGATCAACAGTAGTTGTGTTTCTCTCTTCTTCCATCACTCCCAAAAAGTAGCCACAAAAAACTTTCAAATCTCTTGCAACTACACACTCAATTTTCAAGTAATCTCTGAGAAAACACTCCACCATCACTCGAGGCAAATCACTCACACCCACTAATTTGTTCCCATGGGCGGCAGCCCCAGTCAAGAGCTCAAAGCTCTCCAACCCAACATCCTCCAAGAAGAACTTTGGCAAAACACTTGTTCCAACTCTGAACTTGTCTTTCTTTATTCCCAAAAAGCAAACCATCACCATAATCTTCAACCCCGTCTCGTGACTAAGCAAACAAACAAAAGGGTACAAGACGAAGAGAAGAATAGCCCTGAAGAGGCTTCCGGCTTCGAAGGCGACCAGCATGAAGTAGGGAAACAGAGAGGAAGATTTCAAGAGAGATCCTTCAACGCTAAAGATCAAAGTAGTAGTAGTAGTAGTGGAGAGGTTTGACAATATTGTTTGAGAAGAATGAGGAGGAGGAGGAAACCTTTGAAATTTGAAGAGCGATGATGCATGGAGGTGGTAATTAGAGTTGCTGAAGCTTCTATGGAGACTTTTAGGGTTTCTGAAATGTTTAAGGAGAAGACGAAAGAAGAAAAGAAGTAGGGTTTTGAAGAAGGCCTTAGAAACCATTTTCAGTACGTACTAATTAAGTAGTACTACTACCGCGCTAGCTAGCTAATTAGCTTCAAATGGCCAATATTGCAAGCACCTTGTATTGTAAATTTGTAGTATTGTAGACAATGACTATCTACATATATATATATATAGGAAGGGAGACGGAGAGGGAGAGGGAGAGGGAGAGGGAGATAGGAGCCTAGGACTTGGGAAGATGATGTATGTATTTATGCTATTCAACTATGAAAATATACTTGATCTTGTTTATAATTACGGGAATGACACTTTGTTGAATTTCTTTCTAATTAAGAGCCAGCTAGCAGCTATAGCCATGCTACTTCCAGCTACTTACCTAAATATGCATGTCTGGCCGGGAGGGACACGGAAAATAAAACTTATTAAATGCTTCCTTTTTCTATATTTATTATTGTTTACAACTACTACATCGACATAAAAATTACTGGAGTAGTGATAATTGTCAAATCTAATAATTATTTATTCTAATTAATTACATAAATAATTAATTAAAATTAGTAGATCTAGGTGTAAAAATTATTTTTCAAATGAATGTACATGTACTTTCATGATATTAAAAAAACTCAAAAAGTAGTATGAATTCATCCAAATTACTCATTTAGTATCAATAAATCAATTAATGTGGAGTACTACTGGATTTCATGATTCTTAATTGTTAATCTAAAATTCAAATGTGATGAGGAAGCAAGTGAAATTTAGTGGCATTTAATAAGAATTATCATCAAATATTATACATGTGGTGGATGGATAGTGTTTTGGTGAAACTACAATTTTCCTTGTGTAATATTACGTAGTAGTAGTAATTAATTGGACAAGGGGTTCCAACCAAACATGAGGACAATGTTTGTTTACCACATGATACGCGTTGTTGGTACTTGGTACTTGGTACTAGTAATTGCTTTTCTTTTTTCCACTAATCTTATACTAGCTGTATAATTCCCATCGGCTTCTCTTTATTTTCTTCTACTTTGGCGTTCTTAATTCAATGGTGATGTGTGTTGCAATTAATGCTGATTAATATTGATTGTAGGATATATCTTTAATATTTACTTATATTCAATCCTTTTATGCTGCTCTTAGTTTGCAGATGGAGTAATTAGCATCATTAATCTTCTCCAATTTAGTTTTCTATTTCATGCAGTTTGTACATGGTGTGCACTTTTTGTCATGTTTTTAGTCACTACTCGGATCATTCCCCAATTGTTTTTCACATGGGTAGAGTTTTAGGTATATATTGTTGGATTGAGGCTGGTTATCTATATAAGGTTAGGTTTTTGCTTCATTTATTTCACAATTTGTGAGAGTTTTAATTTGAATTATATATGTTTATGGTTTGTGAGAATTGCTTATTATATGTATATGTTTTTTCAGATTGGTGGATTTCTAACAATTTAATGGTCAGTGTATGTATGGTTTAGGAATTAATTGCTTGACAAAAATTCCCAATTTATTTAGGATTTATTCTAACTGCAATATATATATATATATATGTATATATATATATAGTATATGATAACTGATAAGTATGAAACTTGTAAGACTGAATGGATATATGTATGTAATAATGGAAGTGTGACTTTTATTAACATGGTCATGCCCGTAGGACCATATCTATACAAGCATTCAGCTAGTCCACATGCATGTTATTATTATTATTATTTTTTGATCAAAAAAATATTACAATCAAATTGAACTTAATTCTATCCTCTTACAAGGGAAAGTGAAGGAAAACGAGATGATGATAGAACAAATGAGCAGTTAAAATATGGTAAGTTTTATTAGCTTCACTTGGGTTGCATATACCAAAGACCACCAATGCCTATTATTTGACATCAGTAATAATATATCAAAGCATGGCAAGCACAACCGTATGCATATGCGAATAGTTATTTGAGAAACTAAATTGGAGACCCTAAGCATCTTTAATAATATTAAAAGAATCCTGCACCTTCTCATGCCGAATTTACTCCAATTAACCCAATAAATATGTCATGTGGGACCACCAGTTTAATTTGTAAAGATTTTTAAAATATCCTCACTCAATTGATAAAAATACCATACTTCACATTCTTGTCCATTTATTTTTTGGATCCAAAAAAAATCAAAAAATTTGGGTCAGACAAGTCACAAAAAATTAAATTCTTATATTTATTATTTTGTTTAAAAAAATTATCTTTAATTTTTTTTATTCTTCAACAGCCCCCTTCAAAAAAAAAATTTGCGTCGGTTAGTGTGACTTACCCTTATTAATTAATTGAATGCCACAGTGTTTCAGATTGTGAATTCAAGGTTGTGTTATATCAATTGGCCGAATATATTAATGTAGTATTGTATTATAAATGTGGGTATGTGTATATATAAAATGAATTAAGCACGTAGAAGATACATAAGGGATATATAGATAGAATTAAAAGAATATATATATTAATTTGAGTTAAGAGTTAGAATTAGAATTAATTGTTCGTTGGTGTAATTAAAAGTACGTTTATGAGAGAGATGGACGTTGACCAAAATGACAATGTAGGCTCGGCGGACCATGATGGATTTGAAAGTGGTTCATTTTGGATCCATGAATTGGCCAAACACGCATGCCAGCAGCTGGTTGGACCACTCGTTTTTATATGTATGTATGTATGTTCCAAGTCAACGCGTCGATCCTCAACCATATTACAAGGCATTAATAATTCAATGACAAGTACTCACTCAAAGGAACAAGTTGAAGAAGAAGAAGAAGAAGAAGAAGAGGGTGGGTACGCATGCGCATCCACACGTACTTCTCATCGATTTCTCCATAATTATTCCATAATTCAGCAGCATGGCTCTTTTGACATTTTGTCTGTGAATGTATATACATACGTATGACTCAATTACATATATTTAATATTTTAAAAGGTAAATTACACAAATATCCTCTATAATTTGTCATAATTACACGAACCTCTTCTGTTATTTGAAAAAATATTCGGACCCATCTAAAAATGAAACTAACCTACACAGACTTCCCTTCCTTAAATGCACTAACAAATTTATTTAATTTACTGAAATGTTCTCATAACACAAGTTGTTAAATGATGATTGTACTACCCATCTATATGTGTGTGAGAGAGGCGATGAACAAAGGATAATATGAAAATTTTAATTTACTCGTTACATGACATCAGCAACATCAGCAAAATCCATCATTGACTTGCACTGACAGTAGTAAAAACAAAAGGGAAAGTTGACCGTAACAAAAACAAAAAAGAGTCCAATTCGTGTTGGTTAGTTTCATTTTTTTTTTAAATCCTAATAATTTTTCAAACCAACCTATAATTATGACCAAACAGGCTACTAACGGATTAGATATATCACATCCATCCTGTTTACATTAATAATATTAGAAATAAAACTTCCCCCGTCATTATCATGTTAACCCGCCAATTAGTTAACCATAGACATATTTTAGTTAATGATCGCATAGCAGAAGCCCCACCACCAAGTTCTCAGTAAACCCAGGATATTATTACCGCGAGGGATGAACAAAAATACAGAGCTCTGATTCAAACCTCGTTCCATACGGCGGAGAAGCGCCACTACTTGCCATCAATTAGAGACTTTTCAATCCAAAAAAGCAACTTATACCCAGCCTAAAACTTACTATAACCCACACGCTAATATTTTTGCAAACATTTAGTTTGGATCAAAACATTCCATTTGGAATGCATACAAGAAATTAAGATAAAAACCTTTCGCCCTGATTTACTACAGCAGCTATGAACCAGAACCAACATCATCCATATCATATCATCTCTCTTATTTGGAACCCCATAACCAAACTGAAAAAGTTGCAATGTGCCACATATCATTAAATAGGGGAATGCTTTGGACGGCCATCACTGTCCGTCGCACGGCTCTCTTAGATATATACAGAAACATGAATGATGGTGACAAATAAATTTACAAGGGGGCAAAGCAAAACAAGTTGCCTTGTTGACTCAAATATGAGCACTCCTACAAATCTTGTCCTTATTATTGTCAAGCAATTCTGCACAATTTACCCTGAGGATCTCAAATCAGAATGAGAAGCATTTTCTACAGAACTGCATTAACAAGAAACAAATTAGAAAAAATTGCATTATGTTGAATTCTCATAATCAAATTGCCTGATAAAATAACCAAAGATGACTAAGGCAAATTGCATTTAAAAAAAGAAAAAACTTGACTTGTAGCGATTGGCAATAAACCACTTTATGCATTTATTTTGGTACAAAATGGTTGTTAACGAAATCAGCAAATTACTAAAATACACATGTCGTGTTGACGATGTCATTTTGGTATATATACCAATCTCAACATTGCATAGGTCTGTTTGGCTAATATTTTTTATTTTTCCCAAAACGACACTGTTTTTTGAATTTTCCATTTTTTCCCAACTCAGTAGTATTTTCCACTTTCAATCAGATTCAAACATGCATAGTATCTTCTGGAAAAATAACAAATTTTCCTGAGCCTAATACAATTCGATCATCAATTGTATCACGATCACAATAGATCTTGAACTTTCCACAGAATTGAAGAAAGCAGTAACTGTAGAATATGAATTTCAAAGAGAACGAGAATTATAGAGAAAGAAAATGAAGAAATAATTTTACAGAGAGAGAAGGGGCTGAATTGGATTAAGATGCTTTTGCTACCAAAAATCGATTTCCTTCTCTCTACCTATATAATGTGTGTGTGTGTGTGTGTGTGTGTGTGTGTGTGTGTACATGTGTCTGGATGGAAATTTTTTGGACAATCTCTAATTTTGGTGATTTATGATGTATCATCCACCAGATTTTTAAAGTGTCGAACGAGTTGAAGACATGTGCACAAGCACAGTTAATCTAGGAGAGAGATTTTCTTGAATTTGGAAAATATTTCCAGAGAGTTGGCAGTGGGAATCATCTGGACTGTCCAACACAACAGAATTTCATTGATAGAAGAAGATACGAGAACTATCTATTAGGTTGAATTTGATAAATAGAAGAAGAAAACTAACTGAGGGTGGAAGGTGGCTGAAGGGTATTGGGTTAAACGGACAATGATGGTCGGAAGTGGAAAATATTTAAGGTGGCCCATGGCTGAAGGGTGAGAAGTTCAGTAGATCATGATGTCCACATCCAAGAACAAACCTGCACTTCCGTTCGAGAGGATTTGAAATGGGAGTTAGAATACCCAATTTCAGTTGGATATCAAAACATGTGTAAGGGCATTTTCGTTATAAAATGTCTCAGCAATGAGCCAAACAGTCTCCCTTTCTAATTGGCTGTTCGCTTCTGTAAAACCCCTCGTCCGGGGGGAGGCGGCAAATAATTTCATAATAGGGGTATATCGCTACAAGTCAAGACGGGTTTTATGCAATTCGCCCTTCAAACTAAAGATGTTATTTCCCAAAAATAAAAATTAAAAAACAATCAAGGTGTGAAAGGAGAACATACTTGGGAGATGCAGAACTGGGTCCACTGCTATCACTTGTGGAAGGGTTACTGTAAAACTGGACTGAAATCAAACTGTCTGTTGCTACTGATGGTTCAGGAGACCCGTGGAAATTCATACTAGAACTGTTTCTGGAGCAAATTCCTGCAAGCATATAGATTAAACATAAGCATTGAAATTTTTGCCTCTACTTTTTTGCATCAACTGAAATCCCAAAGGGTTCGATACACTCCTCTAGAGGAAAGACATGTTGGAAGAAACCCCAGAATTTCGCACGGTAGAGGAATCCAGGGGCAGTCAAAGCATGCATCATCATTAATAACACTAAAATCTCAACATGTTTCCCTTTTTCTTTTCAACAAAATTGAATCAAACCCTTAATACCAAAAAATATTCTAAATTACAGGCCCATGTGGGGCTATATTTATTCAACCCCATATTTTACAAAGACTTGGATCGGAAGGGAAGGCTAATACACTTTAATAGAAAAAAAGGAAATAAAACTTAGACAAGTACTTCATCTCACATTCTGAATATGAATAAGAAAATTGAGATTATATCACTGCAATTGATGACCTTGACATTCAAATTAACAGAACAAAACATTGTTTCGAACTTTCGACCATTAAGAATAACCGAATAAGCAGAATGAATCTTGTCTTGCCTTTCTACTCATCTAAGGTCACGACTTTATACTATCAAAATTTTGCTCACCGTCTCAATAAATTATTAATTTGGAACTTCCATCCCCAAACACTCTCAAAGTTAATCAGGTCACTATTCCTCCTACGACTATTACAACTTTGATCAACCAACCATTTGTCAACTTTTTCTCATTTTGAATATACACATCTATAAAACAATAGGCCAGAAGCACTCCTCTACTTAACACACTTCAAATCTATGAACGATATAATATCCAATCCCTCCTGTCCGAAAATAATCGAGTCTTGGTAACAAAATTATTCGTTTTTGGTATCTTTTAACCTCATTCTTCCTACAGGCTCACTCGTATTTTACTCCTGTAAAAGTAACATTTCACATACAAAATTTTACACCTGTTTATCTTAAACTCTTTAGAATCAGGAAATTTCTTCAAACTTCTAATTTAGCATTTATCTATATTTTCATTTCATCAATTAAAACAATACAATCAAAAAACAACTTATAGCATAAGCGTTAGCGATATATGTTCATCCATAATTAATGGAAATATAATAGATTAATGTTGAACCTGATATAAATTTATGGTAACTAAATCTTCACTTGTGTCTTTCACAAATCGTGCTCCAGAATCCACCTCCTTTTATTTTTTTTTGATAAGTAAAAATATATTAGAAAGACGTTCAAAAGGGGAACGCGTCCCTAATACACAAAAACGAAAGAGCAAAAGCCAAACCTATGGACCAACAGAGTCCAATAGAACAAAAAGTCATCGATCGAGGAGCAAGTGCTGCCTTTGACATAGCAAAAAAGAGAGCGTAGGATAAATGACTTAAGGTTTGCAAAAGACGATTCCTTCCCTTCAAAGTTTCTGTTATTTCTCTCTCTCCAAATACACCACCAAACACAATGTGGGGCGACCCTCCAAAAATCACGAGCATGACCAGAAACAGGGCATCTTCTCCAAGCATTAATTAATTGGAAAGAGTGCTTAGGTGATACCCACCGAACGCCAAAAATACTAAATATGAGATTCCAGTATCAGATGCAACAGGACAATGCATAAGAAGATGGTCGACGGATTCACCATCAGTTTTACAAAGACAAAACCAATTAACAATGGTATTACCTCTCTTACGCAGATTATCCAATGTTAAAATTTTTCCCCAAGTAGCAGTCCAAACAAAGAAGGCAACTCTAAGAGGAGCTTTAGAGCGCCAAATATACTTCCAAGGGAAATCATATCCAATAAAATTAGACAAACACAAGAACATGGATCGAACTTCAAATCTACCATGAAGAGAGAGAGTCCACAAAATATCATCACAACCTCTGCCAACATCTTTCTGTCTATACAACAGGTCCAAGAAGACGCAAACTTTAGCTATCTCCCAATCCTGAAAGGAACGCCTAAAACGCACATCCCACGTAACTCCACTGTTATCAAGATGATAACAGTCAATTACATAAACATGCTTATTCTCGACAATGCTAAAGAGACGAGGAAAAGAAAGAGACAACAACTGATCACCACACCATAAGTCTTCCCAAAATCTAACATACATACCATTACGAACCTTGAACCGAATATGGGTGGAAAACACATCCCAACCTTTCCGAATGAACTTCCAAATGCCAACGCCCCCGGTAATAGAAACAGGACGAGAGGACCAACCTCCACTCTCGTCCCCAAAACGACACGAGATAACTCTTCTCCATTGTCGATGACTTTCTTTACCGAATCTCCATAACCACTTCCCCAATAAAGCCCTATTGAAAGGGTAACTTTCGGATACCTAAACCGCCAAACTTCAATGGTTTGCAAACCTACTCCCAAGTAACAAGATGATACTTAAACTCCTTTCCTTTTCCACCCCAAAGAAAATCTCTCTGAATTTTTTCAATTCTTTCAGCAACAGAACACAGGATCTGGAATAGAGATAAGAAATATGTAGGAAGGGACGAGAGGGTGCTCTTAATAAGAGTGACCTTCCCCCCTTTCGAAAGATACTGTTTTTTCCACCCCGCCAATCTTTTTTCATACCTGTTAATCACCGGATCCCAAGTCCCCACTATCCTAGAGGAGATTCCCAAAGGTAAGCCCAAATAAGGGAGTGGAAAGGCACCCACTCCACATCCACGAACAGCAGCTAAAGTGGAAATATTAGAGACCTCCCCCACTGGGACAAGCACACTCTTTCCAACATTAATCTTAAGACCAGACACAGCTTGGAAGCATGTAAGAATGCACCTCAAATACCTGAGCTGGGAAACATTAGCATCACAGAAAACCAGGGTATCATCTGCAAACAACAAATGGGATATCTTGATCTGGTTAGCAACATCTCAACCAACAGTGAACCCCCTTATGTAACCCAGATTCTCTGCCTTTTTCATTAATTTACTCAATCCCTCCATGACAATGAGAAAAAGAAAAGACGACAAAGGATCTCCTTGTCTCAAACCACACGAACTCGGAAAAAAACCAGTAATAGAGCCATTCACAAGCACAGAGAACATAAAATGACGTGATAAGAAATTATTTCAAAAAATTAAATCTAGAAGAAGATAAGTATGGGATATGATAGAAAGGAGTAGAAAAAAAGAATCCATGTGGCCGACCCCGTTTGTATGGGATAGAGGCAAGGATGATGACGATGATGAATTCACCTCCTTTATCATGTCTATATCTATTTGTGACTTTGTTTTTCAGAACTTCCTATAAAAACAGTATGAAGATTTTTCCCTTTTTTTGGCAAATTATTTTTTATTTATTAAAGAAACAAATTAATACAAAAAATAATAATAATAAAAAAGAGCAAAGGATATTGGCATATACTGAAGAAGACCATAATTTGAAGAATATTAAAGGAATAAGCTGCATAACACCCAGAGTTGGACTAGAATTCTACTATCACAGGCAAAGCAAGCAGATTACATCCAGAAGAACTGATATACTGGCATTTCAATTAAACTGGTGACGGAATTACAGAGAGGTCAAACGCAGCATCTGGTTATCTTAAAGGATCAACAAATCAAATCAGGAAACAAAACCTACTGTTTCAGTATATCCAAGGGAATTCTCATGCTTGATGCAGCCAACTATGAGAATTTGTATTAGGGATCTTTCTAGAAGAAGCTAACCGCATTCTAATAAAACCTGTGATCTCCTTTTGCAAGGGGCAGACATCCAAGTATTGATTGGTAAAAGTCATTGCATTTCTCTCTCCATAAAATGTAAGAGACTGACGAGCAACATTTTATTTAGCTTTTTATTTTCAAAAAAAAAAAATCCCTATCAAATTACTGGAACCCAATTAAATTTAGGAACCCAATCATTTTGAGGCCACTGAATTTTTCATTTTCAACAGCAACAATCAAGCCTTTTTCCCAACTACTTGGGGTCGGTTACATGAATCCTATGTTTCCATTACGCTCTATTTAAGGCCATAGCCTCAATCAATCCACATGCTATCATATCCTTCCTTACTAACTCTACCTAAATTAACTTTGGTCTTCCTCTTCCTTAGTATTACCCTCAATGTGGACTATGTCACTTTTCCTAAGTGGCGCATTTAAAGGTCTTCTCTGCACTTTTTCCCAAATGAATTATTATGCATTTTGCAGTAACAAAAATTCATATTCTCCAAGTAAGAGGGCATTGGAAGAACAAAGGATTCAACACTTCTGTATGCAATCTGCAAAAAACAGAACTGATCTGAAATAGGACACTCAGTTGCTGCAACCTCTGTGCTGAGTATTAAGCCTCCCATGTAATTTTAACCAAAGCATGAAGGAATACCCAAGGACCACCCCTGGAAGCCACACTAGTTTAGTTCAGCCCACAATTTGATGCCAAGGTCTGATGAACCCATACACTAATACCATCTGGAGAATCCCATATAGTTTTGTCAGCGCATCAAGAAATAGGTCTGATATGAACTGGCATATATCTTTTAAGCTCAAGGAGGGCAGAGGACCTGTTTGATCTCAAAACTGGCCAATTCCAGTTTCCTTGACTTATAATGTCACCAAACTTTGCATTTCTCCCAAGCACCGCGTCAAAAGTACTCTTTCCCTTCTACAATAGTTATTAAAGGCTCAAGGCACACTAAAGCGCCAAGGTCGCCTTGAAGCCCAGGCACAAGGCGCAACATAAAATGTGAGCCTGATTGAACTTAAACACGTGTAATAAAAATAAATATTTATATCAATATACATATATCTATAAATGATGTCCATAGTAATTCAAGTAAATTGATATACATTTGAACAATTCAAAATATGGAAGACAACTAATCAAAAGTATCTAAAAATAAAATTTTGAAACACAAACTCAGTAGATCAAGAAATCAATGTAAATAAATCCTTTAAATAAGTAAATGCATTTAACAAAATCAATAGTATTACAAGGATGCAACAATAAAAAGCAAAAATCATGTTAAATTTAGGTGCAAACAATTCCTTTTATTTTGCGCCGTGCGCTCATAAATTCCATCAAAACATACAATACCATTAAATATGATCATGATCTGGTGTACGTAAATTCATATTCATTTAAAAAGAGAAGGCAAATTATACAAATGAATGATTGATATATATATGTGAGGTGCTTATTTTTTTTGCCTGGAGCTTGCTAAAAAGAATTGAGTATGAGGGCTTTATGTGTAGGGGTCTGCCTAGAGCAAGTTGAAGTGCTCCGGCCAAACCTTGATGAGACGGGGACTTTTTGGGAGTCCGGGAGTGCCTTTAACAACTTTGCGCTTTATTAAGCACAATAAGACCTGATGGAAAGCTAAAAACCATACAATACTGTAGTATTTTTCCACCCTGGGTTACCAATCTTAAATCGAATGTGCTTCTAATATTCCTCTCTAGCCGTATATTCCTCCAAGACTAGGAGAAATGCCCGGTTGAGAAGTTCAGGACCAAACATGCAAAATGATGCTTAAAACAAAAATAAAAAATTCCCTAGGCATGCTTAAAACAAAAACTTATTCAGTTAAAATTGGTTTATCCAGCAATGCACAAGCACCAGAGAAGTGCGTATGAAAAAAAAACCTTTTGTTCAAGGAACGATGAAAAATGCAAATTTGGCGCCAGCCATAAGGAAGAATCACAATCAACACGCAGAGAAATACACTACAAAACTTCCTGTAGGAAGATCTACCAAATGAAATAGTGACAGACACATCTAACTTGTCACATGAGAAGTCAGGAAACCTGAAATTTAAAAATAGATATAATATTGGATTTTTATGAATGCATGACCATTTAACATATTGTGAAAGTACACTCAGTCAAAAGGAAAAAAATACGTCCAGAACAAGTATGTTTTAGTTGAACAAATTTACAATATTTACATGGTCAGAGATGTGTTTCCAGACTTTCAGAGTTCCCCAAAACTACAATGACAATTGTTAAGCAACACATTATAAAAAAATAATAAATAATAAATAAATAACTCATCAAAATCATGTTTGTGAAGACGAGAAAACCAAATAAAGTTTCCTAAAGAGGTATGAGGGGCAACCATTGAACGTTCCATCTCAGAAATTGCTCTGTGCTAAAAAGCACCTTGACCAAACTGGCATTAAAAATTGTTCAAAAGCATGTTTATGACATTACGGAAACAACTTGCCCAAACTAGTATCACAATATGAAAGAATAGCACATCAAATTCAACTAAGAACTTATGTAGCAGAGTTAAGCACTGAAGTATTCTATGGCTGGCAAAAGATTATATATTGATATATTCAATATGCAACGTGTATAAGAAGATGGAAACAGAATTTTTAATTTTAGTAAGATGTATAACAATATAAGTAATTACTTCTTAGTCAACCTACTTATCAAAAATAAATAAAAATTACTTCTTAGTCAACCCCTTGAGAATTATCATAGTTCCATTTATGATTTATCTCCAAGGAATCACAGATATACATTTATACAATATATTCACCAATCTGGATGCATGCAGTGCATTCTTCATTTCTTGTTTCTCTTAGCTTTTGCAGGATGAGTCAGTGTACATGTGATTCACCGCAGTTGCTTCTCTCTCTCTCTCTCTCTCTCTCTCTCTCTCTCTCTCATGCGCACGCAAAGCTCTCAAAGGATCTTATAGAATTTCATTGAATTTGACTATCTTCTTCACACAACTCTCAAAGAATCTCATAGAATTTGAATAATCCCTTTGAAATTCGCTTCATCCTTCCCACCATTAGTGAGCCCTTGGAAAATTTTCAACAAATCACTAAAGTGATTATCAAAGCATTTCTAGCAGTAACGAAATCATATCTAAAATAACGTAACTAAGAGCAGAATACTCTCAATCAATTTGGGAAGAAGTTCGGAACAAGGCTTCTAGTGTCTTGACTGTAATCTTTTTTCATATGTAGTGTCTGACAGTTATTGACACTAATACACTCTAATATTCTAAAAAAAAAATCACATCAAATTAAAATCATTTCCAATAATTAGTTTTGTAAAACCTAACACTAATAAGGTGCCAAGGCTAGATAGAAGGCATATTAGACCAATGAATGTTGGATAGATAAATGATACATAGACTTCTATGTGTATTGGCCCTATTGGGTGTGCGTGTACAAGGATGGACCAATGATAGGGGTCTAGAAGGGGCCAATGCCCCCACTCAAATTTTTTTTTATATTGATTTTATAGATATAGTTTCAGTAATTCTAATATTGTCCACTAAAAATTCTTAAAGACTTGCACAATCTTCACCATACTTAGTATCCCTTTTTTTTCCCTTAATTTTTATACCCTCTCTCATATAATTCCTGTCTAACTTTCTTTCTCTCCCTCATCTCAACTACTCTCTCCATCCAAAGAAGTTTCTCTCCTAAAAGTCGTCGATCAGTTTCTTTTATTTCAATCTCTTCCTAAGGAAGAAGCACAAATTGGAAGAGTTCTAGACATTCATCTTTCTGTCCATTTCTTGAGCTTGATTAAACTGATACTCAAGAACAATGATCCCATTTTTCAAGTAAACCAGTTCTTTTTTTAAAAAAAAAAAAAAGCATTTTCATTTGGGTTAAAAAAAAAAAAAAAAAAAAGGAAGATGGCAGCAAAATCAAAAGCTTTTGGTTCTAACCAGGCTTCTCGTGATTGTTTTAAGCTTAGACAAGATATAATTTTGTTGAGAAGGTGTAATGCAATCAAGGACAAACCCCATAAATACCTTTCAGTAATTAATTACTTCAATGTGTTAAATATTGCAATCATCTTCTTTTATCGCCTGCTAAGAATATCAACATCATTTGCTGTCCACGAACCTTAACTACGAAAAGAACCACTTGTATTGGAATGAGAAATTGAGGACTTATAAAAAGGGGAAAATAAATAAATAAAAGATATATTCAGCATGGAAATCAAAGAACTTGTTATATAATGGTTAAATAAGAAGAAGGTATATTGTTTGCAAATATATATATATATATATATATATATATATATATATATATATATATTGTGGCGACCTTGTGGCCAACAGGGACGTTGGGCCCCTAAGTGGGGAGGGGGGTGATTGTGGCGACCTACGTGGGCGGGTTAATAGGCACTGGGCGATCTACCACACTGGCAAGTTACAGGCTGGGAAAGGTAGAGGTAAGGTGCTTATATGTATTGGTGCTATCTCCAAATGCTATGAGGCTTTTTTGGGTAAAACCCAAGAATAAAATCGTGTGGGCTAGGGCCCAAAGTGAATAATATAATACCATGTGGTGGAGTGGGTCGTTACACATATATATATACACATATATAATAGAAAAGGAGAAAGGGAAGAAAGGAAATAATTTATAGTGTATAAATATCCAAAAACTGACAATATTTTAATATTTCTATACTAATGTGAAGATAATGAGCCTATTGAAACACTACAAGGAGAAAGTTATACCACCAATTCAGCTCACCACTAGAGAATCATGACAAAAGAAATAGAAAGGGTTTAACTTAAAGGTTGGAAACCACTAATTCATAAAATCTAAATCGACAAGACATAGGAGTCAATTAGTCAAGATTTGCCTAGTCTTTGAGATAAATTCAAAATACTCTCAGTGAGGTGGTTGAAAAATCGTTTTTACCAGTTAATGAATTTTTTCTTTATCCCTTTTTTTTAGTTAATTTTTTCTTTATCTTATTATTATCCAATGCCGCCCCAACTAGAGTAAATTCCTGGCTTCGTCATTGTGTGTATGTACCTAAGTATCAGATTGTAAAAAATCCAATCCTAATGCACAACAAGTAACTAAATCTTCATAATCTCTTTTTATTTTTTATACCGAAAGATGGAGAAATAGGAGGTAAAAAGAGTGAAACTCAAATGAAACGTAAGCTCGTCACCTTAAGAGATCCACCCAAGGGATAAGAGCAAGGATAACAAGAATTCCTTCCTCTTAACAAGCCAAAAGTTGGAAAGATTAGCCTTCTTGGGTGCAAATTTTGAAGTCAACACTAGGATCCTTTACAAAATTAGCCATTACTCACTCTAAGTCCGAATTAAGCACTGTCCTGTTTTTGTTAGAAAGTAGACCATAGAGCTTTCCAGCCATATTTGGAACATCATCGAATTCCTTTCCAATTGAGTTCAGCAAGACCATCAAGTTGGCCCATGATCGCATGCACCTTCTGAAAAACTTAGTCTAATTATTTTGTTGGGTTTTATCAACAGACATTCCAGCATCAATCTTTATTTTTTATTTTTGAGATAAAATTGTCAATTTATATAGCATGGAGTGCTTAATTTGGTCACACTCATTAGAAAGTGCTTATGTGACAAAATAAACATAGTAAAGATGTTCTATACACATTTATATAATAAGAGTTATCAATGATCAAAAACATTTACTGATTGCATGTCCAGACTCCAACCAAGCACGCCACATGCATACTCCTGCCCATACTCAAATTTTGTTTGTCCAACACAAGTATTCATGATTTTAGAAGAGTATTATGTAACATAGACATCGATTAACAATGAAATAAAAGGTGCACTTAATTCAACAATATGGATTATATAACTATAGTATGGTACATAATTAGAACTATAGGAGTATGAATTGTAGTGCACATGAATCATATGAGAAAGAAAATACGACACAATCGAACTAAATAAATCCACAGTACCTTGGAATAATATTATGAGACAGAAAAGAACTGTGATGACCAAGGCAATGAGGCTGCTGTTTGATGATGATGATGATTTGGCTGCTTTCATCTTTTTCAAAACTTTCATACGTTCAATCTTTGCACGCTTCTTCATGGCAAGCTCAGAAATCTCTTTGACCAACTTCAAGTCAGAAGCATCCAATGCTGGACCTTTAGGAGGCCGAGGTGGTTTGGCTGCCTTTTTAGAGTTTGCCTTCTTGTGTTTTTCTTTCATATGTTTCTTATCCACAGTGGCTGCATGTTCTCCACCTTCTTCTCTTCCTGAACACTCGTCTATCAACAATTCAAGATCCTCGGCCGCGACCTCACTAGTTTTTCCCGAATTGCCACACGAGTTCACAACACATTCGCCCCCAATTGATCCATTAAAACCAAACCCACATGTAACCCTACTGAGCAAATTTTTTACTTGTATATTGCCTGAAACAAGGCCTTTGCTACTATCCTCTTCACTACTTGTCCTGCCACTTTCAAGATCGGATTCAAAGCTCCTGTCTTTTGAAGTAATATTGTCCATGTGAAAATGTGTGATCTTTTCCTGCTCGTAACTGATCACAACAATAGCTCTTTTTGAAAAAGTAAAGGAGGTTCAATCTTTAAAATCAACTCATTACAAAAATTACCCCCTTCCTTTTTTTCTTTTTTTCTGTATTATTTCCAAAACAAGCAAAGGTGAAAAAGTGTCCAAGTTCTCTGTTGGAGACAAAATCTTTCAACTTCAATAAAATAACATAGTTTATAATAGCAGCAAATTATAATTTCTTAAAAACTAGTGAATATAAAAGTCTACCCAGGACACAATCACAAAATTTGACAGAAATTCAACTTATTTCCAAATTCCATCCCAATATCAAATATTCCATCCATTCTCCGCTAAAAACGCCCCCAATTTGAAATTTTAACCATAAAACGGCCTCAAAGCTTGGAGCAATGAACACATCCCTGCATTTATTAATATATACAAAAGATCATCGTTAGACTCCAAGAAAATTGTTTAATTTATCAAAAAAAAAATAGTTTAGCGTGTATAGAATAAAAATATATATATATATATAAAAGAAATCAAAACAAAAAGAAGCAAAACTCCAAACCCTAAAATTCATCTAAAGACAGCAATGCAGCTTATCGACTATAACCTCAAACAGAAGACAGGAACAAATAAACAAAGCACTCCGATATCTTGAAAACGATAGGATCAGAAAGAGAGATTTGAAACAAAAATCATTAACGAAAAAAAATAAGTTATAGCGTAATCCGAAGTAAAATTACCAGAATATGTCCCCAATTGAGAACTGAAGCGACCAATACGTTGCCAAGAAAAGATAAAAACCATAAATCCGGCGGCAGAGTATTATTCGTCGGTTGTAAACAGAGACTGCCGAGAGAAGATTTGGTGGACAGAGAGCTTTGCCTTTCTTTATTTTTGCATAGAGATGGATATAAAATTACAACTATTAAAAATATATATATTACTGTATTGTAGTATTATATAAAGAGAATTAAATAAATAGTATTAAATAAATAGTAAAAAAGAAGCGCAAAACAGTATAAACAGGACACCTGGACAATCAACGGTTTTATATGTTGATTGATGGTAGGTAGCCGAATGAGTCAAAAGGCGACGGTCGTCGTACCATTTTTATCCTATATGGATAAGACTTGTCCAATTCTCGACTGTTTTAGGGTTAACTGTTTAGTGCATGATCCATTCCTCTTTAAAAAAAAAAAAAAATTAGGGTAAAATCCAAGCACAACCTCTCAGATTTGGCAAGGAAACATTCGGTGAAAACTTACCTATTTTTCAAACAAAGACACCCCCAAAATTCAAAAATGGAAAAAAACATCTCTTCGTATGAAAATTTGACCAAATTACCCTTTGACCGTTTAGGAGACTTTTTTAACTTTACAATTTAATAAATTGAACCAATCTACCCTCATGAATAATTTATGCATAAAAAAAAAATTTATATTGTTCACTTTTTTTTTTTTTTTTCTTTTTGTTTATTTACTTTATAAATGTCTCAACTTCTTAAAAATGTAGAGGTCTAAAATAATTTTTTAATACATATATTTCAAATAAATTATATTTTGTTATTACTTCTTTTCTTTTTTTTTTTTTTTTTAAATTAAGATGTTTAATTCTTTCATCTAAAATAATTAAACCAATCTCTTTTCCTTAAAAATAAAAAATATGGTACCAGTATAACTTTATACATCTTAAATTATATATCAAATATTATGCGTTTCCCAACATAAAAGAAAATAGGTACCAGTATAACTTTATGCATGCCTCTCTTTTTTTTCCCCTTTGTTTTATTAATATTTTTTTCCCTTTGTTTTATTTTTTTTTTCCCTTTGTTTTTTTATTACTTTTTTCCCTTTTATATTGGGAAATGCATAATATTTTATATATAATTTAAGATGTATAAAGTTATACTGGTACCATATTTTTTATTTTTAAGAAAAAGAGATTGGTTTAATTTTTTTAGATGAAAGAATTAAGCATCTTAATTTAAAAATAAAAAAGAAAAAGAAAAAAAGTAATAACAAAATATAATTTACTTGAAATATATATATTGGATCAAAAAATCATTTTAGACGTCTACATTTTCAAGAAGTTTGGGCATTTATAAAGTAAAAAAAAAAAAAAAAAAAAAAAAAAAAAAAAAAAAAAAAATGAACAATATAAAGTTTTTTTTTATGCATAAATTGTTCATGAGGGTATATTGGTCCAATTTAGTAAATTATAAAGTTAAAAAAGTCTCTTAAATGGTCAAAAGGTAATTTGGTCAAATTTTCATATAAAGTGGTGTATTTGTCCATTTTTTTACTTTCAGGAGGTGTCTTTGTCCAAAAAATAAGTAAGTTTCCTCTAAGGCTACGTTTGCTGTACAGGATTGGAATGGAATGCAACTTGAAATGGAACGAGAATAAGAATGGAATGGAATGAGTATTACCATTCTAATGTTTGGTGTGACACGGTAAATCGTTATGGAATAGAATAAGTATTACCATTCTATTGTTTGGTTGACTATTATCAAATCTGGAATTGAATGATTTTTCTCAAAAATGCCCTTTTTATTGGCTTACATTACTTTTTAATTCTGACGATGAATTATAGAATATTATAAGATGCCCAGTACTGCCATTGAAAAAAATAAAGAAAAATTAAAATATTATTTTTAATGAGATATTAATCTTAATAAATGACTGCAAAAGGGAAAATATCTAAATTCCCAAAAGACGAAAGCACAAAACCGTAGCCACCATGACGGAATACTTAACCTAAAAAGTTGATGTAAAGGCTAAAAAATAAAAAATATATATATTTTTAATTATATATCAATCTCAATAATATATAAAAATATATATTTGAAGTAAAAAAAAAACAAGAGAACGACCAGGTCTCTTACCCAATCTATACTTGTTAGGTAAGTCTTTCTTTCATTATGGGTCACAATCAAACTAATATCATAAGTTAATATCATTGCAGGAACAGATTAATATTAAGGAGTCCAAAGCATTATCAAAATAATTAAACAAAATATCACCAAAAAGTGCCACATACCCATCACAAAATTAACCAAATAATTATCCAAAGCATTCATAATAAAAATTCAAAACCTGCTTAGCCAAATATCCAAAATGGGCAACCTAAGTAAAATCTTCACGAAATGACTGTCTTCACCAATTCTTCCTTCATATCCTCATCAAGTGTGAAAAAAATTTGAATCAAGTCACGGTCACGACCAATTTGAACCAAAGCTTTTGCTCGATCGGTTTTGTTCAAACTTGGTAACTTCATCAATTCTTCATGCAGCCTAATTTTCAACTCATTAATTGAAGCATCTTCAATTGCTTGGCTAAGGCGTTCAGTACTTGATTTTATATCTGAGCCAATCAAAGTTGAAGATTGTTTCACTACTTCACACAATGATTCTGCGACACTTTGAGATTTCCTCTTCTTTTTATTTTTAGAGCTCACTTCATTAGTTTTTCCAATTGTGGGAGATTGCATAAATGAAATCGATGCGTCAATATCATCTAAACCATCTCCAACATCATCATTTTCATTCTCATTTTCCTTGTCTATCTGTTCTTTATCCAATTTTTCCATAACATCAGCAGCTGTTTCAGCATCATTTCCGGTAGCACGGTCTTTTCCAAATATGGTGCATAGATCCTTATAATATGGAAAAGGTTTGTCTTTAAATTTTGCAGCATTCTTATGACTCTATAAAAAATAGCAATTATAAAAATATCATAATACAAAATTATGAAGAAAAAAAAAATAATATCATAATACAAATGAAAGAGAAAAATAAAATTATGAAGGCAAAAAAATACCTGCAGGTAAGCGTCCCACACAGATTTCTCAGCAACCACACAATGGTTCAAATTATCATAACCAAACCCACTTGTGTTAGGCCCATGCAACATATCATGCACAGCATCAAAATGGGTTTTTAATGTCTTCATTCTAGATTTAATATGGGGGTCTGCCTTTAAATAAGAATGTGGCAAAGTAACTACAAGTATTTTCTCCACAGCTGTAACATGGCCAGGTTTGAATCCACGATCGGCATTATAGAGACCTGTGTTATGTAAGTCGAAAAGAGCCTCAATAAGCTTCATATCTTCTTCATCTATCCACATCCATTTATTTTTACCTGCTCCTCTTATTTGATCTTGTGTAAACTCCATCCTAACATGTACAAGATATATATAACATATAATTTTCACAACTAATAAATGCATTCACACACGTAAATTTGAAAGAGAAAAACTTCACCAATATATCAACCAAGACATATAAAAATTAATTAATAACTGATTTTAGATAATAACCTATGTATAAAAAGTAACATGTCACATTAAAAAATAATTCTTAAAAAATAAGAACGTTTCTCAAAAAAATTATCTGGATCCCTTGTCTATTTTCCATCCATTCATTAAACATAAATTTAAAAAGAATATAAACTGATATGAAAAATTATCATCTCCCTTATCTAGCTGCCATCCATTCATTGAACATACTGGTTGCTAAATTCTCTCTCCATGCACTCCACTCATTTGATGTTTCGATTGTTGTAATTGAATCACCATGTACTTCATTCAGAGTATGTTCTTGTTCTTCCAAACTTTCCTCTAATGGGTCTATAGACATCTCTTGCCTTATAAGATTATGCAATAGACAACATGCTAAAATGATTCGAGTCTGTGTTGTAGTCGAATAAAAAGAAGGATTTCTCATAATTGCCCAATGCATCTTAAGTAGTCCAAAGCATCTCTCTATCACATTTCTTGCCGAAGAATGCTTCATGTTGTAAAATTCTCGAGGAGTAGTAGGTTGGTGTCCATCCCTCCAATCATTCAAATGATATCTTTGTCCTCTATATGGTGCAAGAAATCCTTGATAATTTGTGTACCCAGTATCAATGAGATAGTAGTAACCTATATTTGTGACAAGTATAAGAGTACTAATTGGAAATTCTATTTAAAATTTAGTTGAAGTGTAAATATTATTTTTTTTAATAAAAAAAGTCTTACCTTGAGGAACTTTAAATCCATTTCTCTTGTCCATTGCTTCTCGAAGCACTCTACTATCAGCAGTTGACCCTTCCTACCCAGGTAATATGTAGATAAATTACATGTCTTGTGAACACACTCCTAACATATTTGTAGCAATTTCACCTTTGCGTGTTCTATATCTAGGCTTATCTTTTATAGGTACCCTTACCTTGATGTGTGTCCCATCTAAAGCTCCAAGGCAATTCTAATTTTTTTTTTAGAAAAAAATAAGTCATTATGGTTATTAATAAATAAAAGATATATTATTTCAAAAAAATAAAATAAAGATTAATTACCTTAAACCATTTCCACCTCTTATCAGTTGAGTTAACAAGAACCGGCTCTGGTTTTTTAAGTAAGAGTCCTTCAAGACGCATGACAGCATTCAACACATCTTGAAAATGCCTACTAATAGTTTCTCCTGACCGCTGAAATCGAAATTTAATGACCCGATTCTTGACATGATGTGCAAGAATGTGAATAAACATTGCTACTTGTTCATCTATCAACATATTTTGGGTATCTTTTAACCCACCTATACTTTTAAGCATGGAGCACAATTTGGTAAACGTTTGCCTATTCATCCTAAGTTATTCTATGCAAGTCACATCATGTAATACCCCTGATTTTGTAAGGGTTATAATTGGAATTTTAATATTTATTTTATTATTTTCATTATCTATTTTAATTATTTTTGGTATTTATGTGGCTAAGCGCTTAATTGTTTTATTTTTTGTTTCCATTTGATTTAAATTTAAATTTTGTATTTAATTGCAATGTTAATTAGGGTTTGAGTTTGGTACATCTCACGCCGACTAGAATTAAGTTTTCCATCGTGGATTAGGATTTGGGTTTAGGGTTTCTTGGGGCTTATATATATATATATACTGCTATGGTCTTCAAAGGATGGAAACCTTATACACGTACAATATAATGGAGAGAGAACAGAGAGGGAACAGAGAGAGATGGTGGGGAAAACAGAGGAGGAGACGAGGGTTTTGGCCAAGAATTAAGGCTGAACCAAGGAAAGGAGGAAGGGATGCTGCTCATGGGTTGAACCTAGGGCAACAATGGAGTGGATGATAGTCAAGAGGTCACCGAAAAGTCTGGACAGAGGACGGCATACTAAAGTTACAGAGGCAAGTTCTATTCTGTCTCTCTCCCTTTGGCTTGTGTTCTGTGCATTCATAGCTGTTCTCTAGGATATTAAACGGATCATGCATGCTTTGAATATGATAAATTAATTATCTATAGGGGTTGAAATTAAACTGAAATTATTTTATTTTTAAGTTTGGTTTCACTATTAAATCTATACGCATGCTAAATCGGTAGCACGTTTAATCTCTGTATTTGTTTGCAACCATTGAATATAAAATAGGGGAGTGCTACTGGGGTTATATAAAACTCATGGGGTCAGTTTTATCCTATTTAATTATGTGTTGCAATTTAATCTGTTTCAGTTTGTGCTTATTGAGTTTCAATGTTAGTCTTTAAGTGATGAGCACTGAAAAGTGCGCATTTAAACCCGTTAAGCTTAAGCATTCTAGTACCTTTATCTATCTTACTTTGCCGTTTTAGACTTATTACGTGTTATTTATATTTTCAGGCACTAATCCCAAAATTGAGCTAGCTCAGCCAAATAAGAGCTTAATTGAAGCAATCCTGAGATAAACCAAAGGAGGGAGCAAAGTGGAGAAAGCAAGGAGCAAAAAGGAATCAAAGTTGTACAGCTGAAAAGTTCGATCGATCCAACTTAGAGTTCGATTGATCGAACATCTATGATCGATCACAGTACTTCTCGATAGATCCAACATTGGCCTTTGCTGAAATTCCAAGTTCGATCGATCCAACATCACCTTCAATCGATCGAACCCTATTTTGTCCTATTCAAATGATTGATCTTATCCACAGCTGTACGCCTACCAACCACTTTTGTCCTTTTTCCCATAAATATCTTCGAAATATCTCAGCCTTATCCTTATCCGGAGGAGTCAGACCACTTCGATCGATCCAAGATGCACTTCAATCGATCGAACCCATCTTCGATCGATCCAAGTTAAGGTTCGATCGATCGAACTTCCTCCAGCGAGAAAAAGTTAAAGTCCAGCTCATTTATTCCGTCCTTCACCCAATCATTAGAGAATATGCCTTGCACGACCACAGCTCATCATAGGGTGTATTTGACCTACCTATATAAAGAATATGATACACTTTTTGGAGAGGAGGCTAAAGTCTCTTGTCACACATTGAAAATCATCTTGGAGGCTATTCTTGGAGAGGAGGAAGGAGGGAAGCTAGAGCACCATTGGAGGAGATCTTCACCAACAAGGAGCAGCCATGGAGTTAGCCCTTGAGGGTTGGATCATCACTACCATGAGTGTCTAGACATCCTCTTGGGGCTAGAGTTAGCCCCAAGCATGCTTTCTATACTCTAATCTTGTGTATTATTGAGGGATTAGTGTTGTATGATACATCTTGATATTCATGTATATATAAATCTTGATTATTTCATGGTTTGTATGGTTTAATGCTTCCAATTGACTATTCTATTCTACCTATATGTCTATGTATGCTAGAGTAGGATATTCATGTGCTTATCTCTAGATTTAGTGTTTTTGATGCATGTCTATGTGTATTGATGCTATAGATCTAGAGATTATCAAGATGATATGCTTAATGAATGTTATTTTGGTTCATTTGATGGTTTATGCCTATTCTTGATGGCTTGTGCCTCTCCCCTAGTCTAGATAGCTTTATTTTCATGCTAGTAGTGTAGATTTAGTGTAGTGGTAGTATAATGTTAGATGGGAGGACAATCTACTCTTGATGTTTGATGTTCCATGCTTGTGAGTCCAAATGGCATATTCCTCTAATATTGTGTTGCATATGGATTGTGAGCTTAATGAAGGATTAATGACTAGTTATGATATGTTGTATCTTTCACATGTGTTTAGACAATTTATTCCTCTCCCAATAGATAAATTGTGGCCTCTCACATAATGTTTAGATAATGCATGTTTAACTAAGTCATCCTTATGGATTGCTTGGACTATGAGCTTAATGAAAGGTTCAATGACTTGATTTGATATTTTGTTCTCTTCACATGATGTCTGGACAATATATTCCTCTACCAATAGATGTATTGTGGCCTCACACATATTAATTGAGACAATTTGCACTTGTTGAGTCACCCTTACCAATTGAATGTCTTTTACACACACAACATTGTTGCAACACATTCATTTCCCTCATTAGTCACTTGATTATGGTTTGGAATAGTATTGTTTGGTGGTGATCTCTACACCCCAAGACCTTCCTTCTTACTTACTCTTTATCTTAATGCATTTTAATTAATTCTTTTCTAGAAGTAATCAACCAACCCAATTCTCTTTTGCAATCATTTGGTACGCTAGAGTCGAAGTTGAAATTCCAACACGTATAATCCCTTGGGACGATCCCTACTCACTCTTGCTACGTTAGTAGTAGTGTTGGTAGTGGTTTTTATAAATTTAAATTTGACATAAAAGGCTTTTCTTAAACCACACATTCACTACATTCAGTTTGGCGTATTGGAACGGCCGTCGTCATTAAGCATATTCTATTTGGTAAGTGTTCTAAGATTTTTCAATGATGTAACTAATGTTTAAGATGTTACTAGATACTCCTAGAACCCTTAGAATCAGTTTTTATAAATCAACTGAATGGTAGAAATATGCCAGAGATGAAGCAGAGGGTCGGTGCCGAAGCAAAAAGGGGAACGGAGCTCTCAAATGAGGTGAGAGCCGGCTCCAGGAAGTTGGGAGCCGGCTCCCCCTTCATTGAGCCGGCTCCAAAGTGTTTTAGTGCCTGCTCAACTTGTCTAGAGCCGGCTCCACTTTTCTTTTACGTTATGTGGTTAGTTTTAAGGCACTGTTTGATATTTTTGGCACTGTTTGAGTTCAAATTAGACTTTCTGAACTGTGTTGAGTTAGGGAAAGGTTTTTAAAAATTAATTCATGGAGTTTTTAAGCCTTAGGGTGCATTAATTTAACTGTATGCTAATGTTTTAAACCGTAGGAAAATCTAAGGCAAGTCGCAGGCAGTTTACGGATTTAGCGGATCGAAAGGATTTAACTGTGCAAACTGTGTCTAAAAATTAAAAAAAGAGTTTGGAACATGGATTCCAAACATTATACCATGCTATCTTTAATAAATTAAGGTCTTAGTATTCATGAATTTAACCGTAGAAAAGTATATAACAGTACAGGCGGTTAACGGATGGAATGAGCTTAATTGCTAAAATTTGGGTCAGGATGAGTAGTTGCTAAATATAGTTTAGGTGTTGAATAATTTTTGTGTTTCCTTTATATCAGACCATAAATTATTTTTGGAAGATGTGGAATGTGGTGGCGCCTATACACAGAGGCAGAGTCCACAATGGAACCGAAATTAATTTTATAATATAATTTAAATTTTGTGAATTCCGAGGACGGAATTCCGTTTGTTAGGGGGGAAGAATGTAATACCCCTGATTTTGTAAGGGTTATAATTGGAATTTTAATATTTATTTTATTATTTTCATTATCTATTTAAATTATTTTTGGTATTTATGTGGCTAGGCGCTTAATTGTTTTATTTTTTGTTTCCATTTGATTTAAATTTAAATTTTGTATTTAATTGTAATGTTAATTAGGGTTTGAGTTTGGTACATCTCACGCCGACTAGAATTAATTTTTCCATCGTGGATTAGGATTTGGGTTTAGGGTTTCTTGGGGCTTATATATATATATACTGCTATGGTCTTCAAAGGGTGGAAACCTTATACACGTACAATATAATGGAGAGAGAACAGAGAGGGAACAGAGAGAGATGGTGGGGAAAACAGAGGATGAGACGAGGGTTTTGGCCAAGAATTAAGGCTGAACCAAGGAGAGGAGGAAGGGATGCTGCTCATGGGTTGAACCTAGGGCAACAATGGAGTGGATGATAGTCAAGAGGTCACCGGAAAGTCTGGACAGAGGACGGCAAACTAAAGTTACAGAGGCAAGTTCTATTCTGTCTCTCTCCCTTTGGCTTGTGTTCTGTGCATTCATAGCTGTTCTCTAGGATATTAAACGGATCATGCATGCTTTGAATATGATAAATTAATTATCTATAGGGGTTGAAATTAAACTGAAATTATTTTATTTTTAAGTTTGGTTTCACTATTAAATCTATACGCATGCTAAATCGGTAGCACGTTTAATCTCTGTATTTGTTTGCAACCATTGAATATAAAATAGTGGAGTGCTACTGGGGTTGTATAAAACTCATGGGGTCAGTTTTATCCTATTTAATTATGTGTTGCAATTTAATCTGTTTCAATTTGTGCTTATTGAGTTTCAGTGTTAGTCTTTAAGCATATTCTATTTGGTAAGTGTTCTAAGATTTTTCAATGATGCCCACTAGTGTAACTAATGTTTAAGATGTTACTAGATACTCCTAGAACCCTTAGAATAAGTTTTATAAA